ATATGAAAGAAAAAAAATTGGACTCTGGAATACCCAACGCCTCTGCAATGTGTCCGGTATTACATGGGAATGACCTAGCAGTACCCAAAGTGCTAGAATCCTTTTTTTTCAGCTGCTTGTACAGATGAAGAAGAGTTATTTGGAGGTTCAACCTCGTGACACAAATTATGAGCATACTTCATCCACTAAATCACAAAGTAAACTGAATGACCTTGACAGAGAACTTAATTTACTAAAGAACAAGGCGGAGGTTTGGGCTTTAGACTGCAACACTGCAATCTCCAGGCAGAAGTGTCAGAATTTCCAAGTATAGGAAGCGCAAAGCAATGGGAATACATCGGTATTGATTTGGTTGTCACCGATGTTATCTATGAATGGTCAGCATCAATAATTCCCCTTTTCAGCACAGGAACCCCCTGGGTCATGGTCAGCCTGGAGTGAATGGGGTAATTGTGACGCCACATGTGGTCGTGGCACCAGGTCAAGGTCTCGAAGATGCTCATCGGGCCAAGGTTGTACTGGGATGTCTGTAGATACAGAATCGTGTGCGGGACTGCCAGATTGCTGTGGTAGGTATATGTTTTACATTCTGGGCTTTCATTTCTTCTCAGTGTTTTTATTGTTTTTTTAATCCCCCCCCCCCTCCCTCAACCTCCGTAAGCCAAGACGGTCACACGATAAGACTTAATAGTAACATTAGCCTTGGAACTTTTCGCTAGTTGTAGTGCATAGGTGTCCCAATTATAATTACAATGAGGTTGAACAGGGTATCTCAAATTTGCCCTGTTTGCTTGCCATCTAGGCTAAGATTATCGAAATCTCATGGAGTTCAACCTTCGAGTATTAACCTGGAAAAGGGGAAAAAAAAGGGGGGGGGGGTGGTTTGAGGGGCGAAAAAATAACCAAGTCTTTTATCATCCGATTATAGCCTATTTAGTTGGGTCATCTGGTTACATCTGAGCAGCATTTTGTGTAGCCATTTAATTTTGTCCTAATTATAACTTTATAGGAGATTGAATGAGTTAACTGACATTGATCCTGTTGAGTTGACATCCAAAATAAGTTGTAAGGGGCTCACATCTTCAACCAGGAGAGGAAAACAGTCAGTTGTAATTTTCTGTTAGACACTATGTGGCAAAAAGGTAATAAGAAGGCATAATATGCAACCTGTTTTAACCAGCTTTACCCCCCCCCCCCCCCCCCCCCCATCCTACCCTCTTTTTCATTGTTGTTGTTGTCTGTTTCATAGCCTCTTCCTGTTACAACAGTTCTTCATTGGTGATGAGGAGGAGGGAGAGTAGGAGAAGAAGACAACTGAGACGAAGTAGAGGAAGAGGGGAAGAAGAAGCTGATACTTATGAGGAGGACGTTGCAGAAAAGAAGAATAAGCAGGAGGAGGAGAAGGAAGAAGAAGATGGAAAAGAAGAAGGAATACAGGGAAAGAGGAGTAGGAGGTGTTGTTTCGGCCATTGCATTACTTCATCTTTTGCCAGTTCGGTTCTTTCTATTACTACTGCATGTAAATATCAGTAGCTGTTTCTAATGTGTTGCTTATGGGTAAAAGTAACGTTAGTCTCCCAGACCCCCCGTCCATATACACACTAGCTAACTTCAGATTGGTTGTTCCCGAATCCCGTGACCTTCACACAAGTTTACGGGGGTGTTCCGCAATGCAGCGATGTATATTTCAGCACGCTAGCGCTTCTAACACTACCCCCCCCCCCCCCAATGGAGAAACTGGCTCTAACACAACTCCCTTAGAGAGTGTTGGAACCTTTGTCACAGGTAATCTCTTTCTTGAAATGAAAATGTAAATGCAAGACGTCACAGAAACCAAACAACAGAGCTGTACACACCCATAACATTCAAGAAAGTCGACCAGCCCAACAAACTGTAAATGAAAAGTAACCTACTCTACTTGGGGAGACTATGGTGAACCTAACCTTGTTCATGATAAACTGTAGAATACTGTATATAGTATGCTTATATGTTAAACTGTTTGCTCTGTCTGTTTACAGTAAACTATTTATTGTGATTTTTATTAAATGTCTAAATCACCTGGACAAAAATGTGAGTCAATCAATACATGAGCGAATCTAACATAATTTGGTTCACATCTTTGTATTACTACATTTATATGTTTCAATGAGCAATGATATCCCTTACAGTGGAGGGAAGCTGGTCAAGTTGGGACAATTGGGCCCCTTGTTCCGTGACTTGTGGGCGTGGCCAGACTACCAGAACGAGGCGATGTAGCAGATCTGCAACTAATGGCTGTGTGAAGCCGTGTGTAGGGGCAAGTGATGACATTAGAGTTTGTGAAGCAGCCGCGTCATGTTGTGGTAAGTTTAACAGTGTAAATGAGTGTTATTCTGCTTGTTGGTTTTTTTTCCACATCTATTAACCATGAGTATAGGAGCATTTCTTTTTTCTCCAAGAATTGGATTTATGAGACTGGAGCATTGTATTGTTTTTGAGAAATGAAGTGTAATACTAATAACATCCACTCTATTCTTATTTGATGTTTTGTTGTTGTCAAGTTCTGGAACAAGACCTAAGTCCAGAAGTAAATCAAAAACTAGAACTTTCCACTGGAGTTTACAGTCAGTGAGTATTAAGAAACAGAGAGATAGATACTACTGGCATATCGTATTAGGTAGGAGAAAGAGCGGCTCTACTGGCAAATCCGGACGAAGAATAAACAGCCTTGGACGACTTAGTCAGAGTTCTCTCCCGTCGCCGCACTCCAAACAGTGATCGGAAAAGCCACAACGAAACAAAGACGACAGTCACGTCGACATCAGGGCTGCCAATGCTTGGTTGTTTCCCCCAGATCTGGATTTTTTTTCGACGCTGCAGGACAATTCTGGGTGTTGTTTTTTTTTGGGTGTGTTTTGTTTGTTGGTGTTTGCCGATTTGTATGCTTTAATGATCGATAAATTTGCGTGGTTAGGGGGGTAGGGGTTAGGGTTAGGGAGTAGGATTAGGATTAGGGTTAGCGGTAGGGTTAGGATTAGCGTTAGATTTGACAATTTTGACGCCGGAGTTCCCTATAATCGCGCACAGTCCCATACACACACACAAACAATCGAGGGCCTCTGGATGCTGGTCACACGCACAATTCGCCAACGATTGGGGGCACCAGCCGCACGCTATTGGCGTCATATTTGGCAGAGTTTCAGTGGCGCCACTCCCACAAACATCATATTGTCGGCCAGTATTTCGAAATGCTACGTCAAAATTTTCACATCTAACCCTAACCCTACCCCTAACCCTACCCCTAACCCTAACCCTACCCCTAACCCTACCCCTAACCCTACCCCTAACCCTACCCCTAACCCTACCCCTAACCCTACCCCTAACCCTACCCCTAACCCTACCCCTAACCCTACCCCTACCCCTACCCCTAACCCTAACCCTAACCCTACCCCTAACCCTACCTCTAACTCTAATCCAACAACCGCATGATGATGACTACACAACCATTCACAATGCCTCACGCAACCGTACGCAACTGTGCACGCAACCATATGATGATGCCACGATGTCTCACGCAACCGTACGCAGCCCTACACGCAACCGCAGGATGATAGGTAAGTGTGTCGTTTGTTTCGTTTGTTTTCCGATTACTGTTCGGAGTGCGGCGACGGGAGATAACTCTGACTAAGTCGTCTAAGTCTGTTTATTCTTCGTCCGGATTTGCCAGTAGAGCCGAAAGAGCTTTGCATCACAGTCCCTGCTAATAGGGCATTTTGGTACCAGGCTAGGAAGGAAGGAGGGAGAGTGGGAGGCCAACCTTACTTCAGTACGTTCAAGCCCTTTTTGGGACCTAAGTGATTCAAAGCATTATTAGACTTCAGAGTTTAATACCATGGCCTCCTGGTGCAGTTGCCTTGGACATAGGCATGAGGGAAAGTTAAGGTCGTTGTGTATATTCCATACTTCAGCTCACACGCCAGCTGGCTCTTTGCTGATTTTATGGAACCTCATGAAAGACTCCTGTCCTACATCCATGTCATGCAACATGGATAATGGCTTTTATTGGCTTAAATCAGGCTGGTAGGGATCTTAGAGCTGATGGCACCCAGAGATAGATTGCCCAGAAAACCACTTCTCTTCACTGAATTACCTGATGTGATATTGTCACCATCATCATTATTGCAATCACAGTCATATTGCCATCATGATCATTATCATAACCTTCATCATTACCATCATCATCATCAGAACTATCATCATCATAACCATTATTATAATAACCATCACCATCATCATAACCATCATCAGCATAATCATCATCATATTATAACCATCATCATCATAGCTATAATCGTCATAACCACCATCATCATTCACCATCATCATTATTATAACCATCGTCATCATTGTAACCATCATATCATCATCATGATCCGCATGAGCATTCTTATAACCATCATCATCATAACCATTGTCATCATAACCATTATCATAACCATCATCATCATCATAACCATCATATCATCATCATAATCATCATCACCATTATTATAACCATCATCATCATAACCATCATCATTATACCACCATCATTATAATGATCATTATTATTATAACCATAATCAGCATAATAACCATCATTATCATAACCATCATCATCATCATCATACCTATCATTATCATAACTATCATCATCATAATAACCATTATCATAGCAGTCATCATCATGACCACCATCATCATAACCATCATCATCATAATTATCATTACCATTATTATAACCATCATCATCATAACCATCATCCTCATAATCTTAATCATTATTATAACCATCATCATCATAACCATCATCATTATACCACCATCATTATAATGATCATCATTATTATAACCATAATCAGCATAATAACCATCATTATCATAACCATCATCATCATCATCATACCTATCATTATCATAACTATCATCATCATAATAACCATTATCATAGCAGTCATCATCATGACCACCATCATCATCATAATTATCATCACAATTATTATAACCATCATCATCATAACCATCATCCTCATAATCTTAATCATTATTATAACCATCATCATCATAACCATCATTATAACCATCATCATCATAACCATCATTATAACCATCATCATCATCATAATCATCACCATTATTATAACCATCATCATCATCATAACCATCATATCATCATCATAATCATCATCACCATTATTATAACCATCATCATCATAACCATCATCATCATCATAACCATCATTTTCATAAACATCATCATCATAACCATCATCATCATTATTATAACCATCCTTATTATTATCATCATCATAATCATCATCGTCATTATCATTTTAACGATCATCATCATCATAACCATAATCATCACTTTCATTATAACCACAGTCATCATCATCATTATCACCATCCTCAAAATCATGATAATAATCATAATTATCAACATAATCATTACCACCACCACCACTGTCATCATCATCATCATTATTACCACCACCACCACTGACATCATCATTATCATCATCATTACCACCACCACCACTGACATCATCATCATCACTACCACCGCCACTGACATTATCATCATCATTACCACCACCACTGACATAATCATTATCATCATCGTTACCATCACTACTGAAATCATCATTATCATCATTACCACCACTACTGACATCATCATCATCATTACCACCACCACACACATCATCATAATCATTACCACCACCACTGACATCATCATCGTTATTGCAACCACCACTGACATTATCATTATCATCATCATTACCACCACTACTGACATCATCATCATCATCATCATTACCACCACCAAAAACATCATCATCATCATTACCACCACCACTGACATCATCATCGTCATTACCACCACCACTGACACCATCATTATCATTGTCATTACCACCACCACTGACATCATCATTATCATCATTATTACCACTATTACTGACATCATTATCATTATTACCATCACTACTTACATCATCATCATCATTACCACCACTACTGACATCATCATCATCATTACCACCACCACTGACATCATCATTATCATTACCACCACTACTGACATCATCATCGTTATCATCATTACCACCACCACTGGCATCATCATCATCATTACCACCACCACTGACATCATCATTATCATCATCATTACCACCACTACTGACATCATCATTACCACCACCACTGACATCATTACCCCCACCACTGACATCATTATCATCATTACCACCACCACTGACATCATTATCATCATTACCACCACTACTGACATTATCATCATCATTACCATCACTACTGACATCATCATTATCATTACCACCACTACTGACATTATCATCATCATTACCATCACTACTGACATCATCATCATAACCACCACCACCGACATCATCATCATCATTATTACGATCACCACTGAGATTATCATAACCACCACTACCATCATCATCATCATCATCATCATCATCATCATCAGATCATCATCATTACCACCACCACTGGCATCATCATCATCATTACCACCACCACTGACATCATCATTATCATCATCATTACCACCACTACTGACATCATCATTACCACTACCACTGACATCATTATCATCATTACCCCCACCACTGACATCATTATCATCATTACCACCACCACTGACATCATTATCATCATTACCACCACTACTGACATTATCATCATCATTACCATCACTACTGACATCATCATTATCATTACCACCACTACTGACATTATCATCATCATTACCATCACTACTGACATCATCATCATAACCACCACCACCGACATCATCATCATCATTATTACGATCACCACTGAGATTATCATAACCACCACTACCATCATCATCATCATCATCATCATCATCATCATCAGATCATCATCATTACCACCACCACTGACATCATCATTGTCATTACCACCACCACTGACATCATCATCATCATCATCATCATTACCACCACCACTGACATCATCATTATCATCATCATTACCACCACCACTGTCATCATTATCATCATTACCATCACTACTGACATCATCATCATCATTACCACCACTACTGACATCATCATCATCATTACCACCACCACTGACATCATTATCATCATTACCACCACCGCTAAAATCATCATTATCATTACCGCCACTACTGACATCATCATTATCATCATCATTACCACCACCACTGGCATCATCATCATCAACAACATTACCACCACCACTGACATCATCATTATCATCATCATAACCACCACCACCGACATCATCATCATCATCATTATTACGATCACCACTAAGATTATCATAACCACCACCACCATCATCATCATCATCATCATCATCATCAGATCTTGTAATTAATTTATGTGCTGATATATCAGTATCTTATTATTATTAGTCAAATATTGTCTCTCATGATGACTGTTTATAGTGGATGGAAACTGGGGAACTTGGTCCAGGTGGTCAGCATGTTCTTCCAGTTGTGGAGATGGCAGAAGAACCAGGACTCGAACCTGCAGCAACCCGCCACCCTCCAGCTGTGGGCGAGCATGCCCAGGGGACATGCAGCAGACAGAACCATGTTCAGATTCTAGCTTATCAGGTGGGTTGCTAAATATTCAGGAAAATGATTCAAAGAAATTGTTGATTCTTCCATTAGTTATATTTCCTTTAACTCTTTCAGTCCAAAGCAGTTATAATTTTAACACCTCCTATCCCAAGGAGTTGAGTTTACAAGCAATAAATAATTAGATCTAGTTAGTTATTTCATTGACAGATTATCCTTATTGCACATCAAACCATTCAGGCCATAAGTTCTCAGATAACCCCTTAGTAAATCCTGTAGCATGTAGCGGCTGATGACACAAATCATGTGTTCGTCTTTTATTCTTCTTTGGCTTCCTGCATAGTGCTCTTGTCTTGCCACACCCTTTTTAACATGTTGTTCTTGCAGTCTGGTCAGGGTTGCAGATTCACAGTAATCACTTGGTTCTCGCAAAAGTCTCACTTCTCGTAGAGCATTCGGTATATCAGTATGGCCCATGACACGTTTGCCAGCCTCAGTAGCTTTACCTGCACACCTATCAACTTGCCCATTTCCTTAGATGTGAAAAAGCTCAACAGACAGACATGGTGGAATAGAAATAGTTCAACTACTAATTTAGATACAACACGATAATAAAACATTTATAGGTGATAGAACATTACATTATACTTAGAATACGAAGAAACATATGGTGAGTTGCTTGTTTGATAGGGTTAAAGGTCATTACAAGTCCCTGATGTGGGAGAAAAAAGCTTAAAAGAACCGTTTGATCATATTATACCTTGATTGTTGTATTTTGAACTTCAGTATTCTGCTAGAGACAATTCTTTATAATTTAGCTTTTTCATTCTTAGTTAATGGGAACTGGGGCAGCTGGCTGTCCTGGTCGGCATGCTCAGCCACCTGTGGTTCAGGCTACAGAAGTCGAAGGAGGGCTTGTGATAATCCAAGCCCAGGCCCATGTGGTCGGCCATGTGTGGGCAGTGACGCCCAGACTGATGCTTGCGAATCCGGACAAAGCTGCTGTGGTGAGTATAGTTATTAACGATCAGTCAATTAACAAACCAAACTTCTATTCCTTGTAACTTTCTGCCATGCAAGAAATTAATTTAGAGAGATGACTAAACAAATTTCAAGATGTAGAGACGCTGAAAAACTTGATAATATTACTAAAATATCCTTGCACTGAAATTCACAAAGCTGAAGAAATAAAGGAAACAAAATAAAACAAAGATTAAACATTTTTTTTTAGAATTAAACATTAAAGTAAATAAGAAGGGAAAGACACATAGGCTGCTCTTGAGCTCACACGACTGCAAAGAATATAATGAAAAGGCATCCATGGGAAAATAAAGGGTAGATGGAGAAGATTTCCATACACAGAACCAGAGATTACTGTAATTGAAATCTTAGACCAGGTTGTAAGCAGAACAGGGATGAAACCAAGTGTGTTTTTATCACTTCTCCCATAAACCTTTTTTTTTTTTCTTTATTATCCAAACAAGTCCAGCTAGATACAGTTAGATATGGGTTTTTTGGATGTGACAGATTGAAAACTATTATCCAAGCAAGTACTTGAAGAAGAAGGAGGAAGAAAGAGGAGAGGAAGTAAAAAAAAAAATAAAGAATAAAATAAAATAAAAAATAAAAGAAGCATCAACGGAGACAAAAGTGATGGCAGTGACGGCAGTGGAGATGAAGAAGAAGTGGAAGAAGCTTGATGCTTAATTATATCCATTTGTATTTGTATATCTAATGTGTGTCAGGGGTGCAGATACAGACAAAAATGTTGGGTTAGAATGGCTATATTTCTAAGGGGAGAGGCTCAAGGGGCCTAAGGTTATGTTTAAGTGTGTAGTAATATTAATAATAGTTTTTATTATTATTTACTGAGTGGTAAATAAATATAATAGTATTTTTGAAATAATACATGTATAAACAAATATTTAAAAAGAGAGAACTTAGTAAATAATTACTGGGAGGAAGGGAGTGTGGGTATTACTTTTTTTGTACTATAGATGGGGCTTAAAATGCCCGAATTCCTGAAATACTATTGGATAATATTGTGTACCCTTGAAAATTAGATCAAACTTGAAAATAAGACCTAACTTGAAAATAAAACATCAACATGAATTTTCAGGATGCTCGTAATATAAATCCTACTCCCAATATTTAAGATTATCAGCCAGATGGATGGAGTACGCTTGCCTGTTAAAACAACCAATAGACATTCTGCATTATAAAATAAGGAAAATCTAACAGATATACCCAACAGACATTCTGCATTATAAAATAAGGAAGGTCTTACAGATATACCCAACAGACACACTGCATTATAAAATAAGGAAAGTCTAACAGATATACCCAACAGACACACTGCATTAGAAAATAAGGAAAGTCTAACAGATATACCCAACAGACATACTGCATTATGAAATAAGGAAAGTCTAACAGATATAAATAAGCAACATTACTGACATTATTTCTTCAAATAAATGCTTATCTAAATTACAATTAAGTATTTGTAAATACAAATTGGGAGTGGGGGGGGGGGGTACTCTAGATTAAAGGTTAATATGAGTACTGCAGTTTATAGGTGGTAAATTGATGCATGGAAAACTATATGTTGTAAGGGCTCTTTTGAGGTTAGTAAACAGTATAGAGGTACACACATATCATCAGCTTCTGAAGAGAATCGAACACTGAGTAACAAGGGGATCTGGCCAACAATCTACAGCGAGGGAGGGGCGAGACACACACACAGTCACACTGTTTGTGGTACTACTGGAACTCTGGGTTTGCTGCTGAAGATATTGACGGAGCACCTATGGGAATGTCCTGAGCTATGTTGTCAGTTCTTAACTCATAACTTATAACTCACATGTCATATTTGATGTTTTCTCATCAATTCCTATTTTCTTCAAGTGGATGGAAACTGGGCCCCTTGGGAGAGCTGGGGCTCTTGCTCCGTGACTTGTGGGCGGGGCCAGACAACCAGAAGGAGGCGTTGCAGCAGGCCTGCACCAAACTACTGTGGCAAGCAATGCGTCGGCGACAGGGAGGAAGTTAGAACTTGTGAAGCGGGTAATGAATGTTGTGGTAAGTGAATGTGTGTGTGCAGTTTTGGTACCCCTGTTTGGGTTCTGGGGCTCCGTTAAGGTGAGGAAAGAAATGGACTCACTGCCTTTTAACAAGGATGCAGTAAAAGGGAACTAATTGAAGGTAAAACCTGGCTTTAAAGCATGACATGACGTGTAACTGGCTCTTCCAATGGAGAATGGAAGAGAGGAAAGAAGAAGAAGAAGAAGAAATGTTGATGAGAGATAACAAGTAAATAAATATTTAATTTCACATAGCAGCACAATTATGATTTTATTAGTTGGTCTGGTTTTTAAATGTCAAGTATTTGTACAACATGTAAATGGAAATACCAAGAGATAATAGAGGGAGATCTTAGCAAATATGGATTGAAGGAATCATTTAAAGCCTAAAACCTCACAGTATAGCAAGTAACTTAGCACACCCTGGCCCAGCTACCTATCAAATGTTAATTGCTACCTTAGCTACCTATCATTCTTGAAAATGTTCAATCTGTTAATTGATTACTATTTATCATTAAGTTAACCTGCTTAATCTTTCTTCCCTACATTGTATTTGTTGATTTTGTTACATTTTGCGATACATTTACAAAATTTCTGACATTTTGTTTAACATGTATGTTTCCATCATTACATTTTAAAATTATAATATGCCTGAGATTATAACTTTTTACAGTGGATGGAAACTGGGCAATGTGGTCGAGATGGTCTGCGTGTTCGTCCACATGTGGAGATGGCAGAAGAACCAGGACTCGAACTTGCAGCAATCCACCACGATCCAGTTGTGGTCAAGGGTGCCAAGGAGACTTGCAGCAGGTGGAATCATGTTCTGATTCTGGTTCATCAGGTTAGTAGCTATAGTTTAAAAAACTGAAGAAAAAAGGATACAGAAGTTAAACATCATAGACAACATGGGATGCTGGGAGTGATGTTCTATGAAGGACCTGCTACATGATGATGATGAGTTTTATTTAAACATGAATCATAATGAGGAAGCATTAGGTGAAGATAAATTAAACCACTCTTCTTGTTAACTGTCTGCTAAAAAAAGAAATTAATGAGGAAAGAGAACTAAATAAATTAAAATGAAATAGAGATGAAGAAAAGCCACTAGTATTGATTGAGACTCACGCTGAGATAACCTGATCATTAAGTAACTAAAATATCCTCCCTGTGTGCATTCTGGGGCTTCATTTTGGAGAACAAAGAATAGAAAAACTGCCCTGCTAACAAGCACAACGCAGGAGGCGACTAATTGGGGGTGTTTCTTCAAACTTGGATTGTATCTACCTGAGTGGCAAGGAACCGACAGTCTGTATACTAGTAAGCCATATTTGTAAAATGGATTTGCATGCAAAACTCATGTTCTGAATTAAGACCAAAGTCCAGGAATGAACAACCTGAACTTTCTGCCAGAGTTTATGGCTGATAAACACTCAAAAGAGAAGATACTAGATTATCGTTGCAGAGGAAAGCAGTAGATGCAAAAAAAAAGAAGATTATGTGTCATCTCTGCAATGAAGGTTGGTTGCCACGTGCCCATTGCTGTCTTTGGGAAATTACTAGAAGACTTCAAATGAAAACCTCAAAAATGTGATAAAAACTATAATAACCATGCCATTATCTTGTAACCTGTCATTTTGTTGTTAATGATGGCAAGAATGTTAAGCACATGAGATCACAGTGCAGATGAACATGATGAAATCATAATGATAAAGTAAAGATGGCCACCCTCTTTTGACTTGCATTAAAAATGGTTTATCTTTCTTTTTAATTGGTGAAAGGGTGAAATGGAAAATGAAAATCCAGTGTGATGACATGATGAGATTCCAATTTCTTTTACAATGTGACTCTTGTCCCTCTGTGTGAAAGCCAAGAAAATAATCTTTTTTAATGGAAACTAACTCTTGGTACATCAGTGCTCGAATTGAGAATCCATTTCACTGACTTCTAAGCCACAGAGCTCCACACACACATATGAATCAGCAGATCCTTTACAGAGTGTCGCTGTCATCGTGACATGTCTAAGAGACTGTCTTCTTCTAGCCAATTCACCAATCCTGTGTGCTTTCAAAACCAAAGCATTTTCTATGTCTTCTATCCACTTTCACGGAGGTCTGCCTCTGCCTCTTGCTTTCCAGAAACTGTACCCTCCAGCCACCATTCTCTCCAGCCACCATTCTCTCCAGCCACCATTCTTTCCAGCCACCATTCTCTCCAGCCACCATTCTCTCCAGCCACCATTCTTTCCAGCCACCATTCTCTCCAGCCACCAAAATTCTTTCCAGCCACCATTCTCTCCAACCACCATTCTCTCCAGCCACCATTCTCTCCAGCCACCATTCTCTCCAGCCACCATTCTTTCCAGTCACCATTCTCTCCAGCCACCATTCTTTCCAGCCACCATTCTCTCCAGCCACCATTCTCTCCAGCCACCATTCTCTCCAGCCACCATTCTTTCCAGCCACCATTCTCTCCAGCCACCATTCTCTCCAGCCACCATTCTTTCCAGCCACCATTCTCTCCAGCCACCATTCTCTCCAGCCACCATTCTCTCCAGCCACCATTCTCTCCAGCCACCATTCTCTCCAGCCACCATGACATTAAATATGATCAAAATATTCTCAGCCTTCATGATGAATGCTGTTTGTTAGCCAATGCTCATCAATGTTGACATCATGTAAAACAATTAGAGATTTCTGTGAATAAAAAGAGGAGGGCATTTACTTTATTTTCAGGACTCTGAGGATATCGCCTTCCTTGGAGTAACAGGAGAAGAGTATCAAAAAATGCTTATAGATTTGGGGGTGCTGCGTGTTCTCAAGGCATGATGTTCGCCTCGAGTGCTAGAGGTTCCGGGTTCAATCCTCGGTAAGGGCTGGGATTTATTTCACCTGGACTTGGACTTCTAGTAATTCCCCTTAGTCTCTGGGTAGTGAGATCAGATGCCTGTGTGTATTTTTGCGCACGTAAAAATCCCTTGGCAGTTGGAAATAGGAAAGAGTAGCCTAACTGCGCTGCGCATGCAAAATTTTGAATTTAAAATCAACCCAAAAGTATTTCAGGATCCTCGCCGGTGCTACAGAGCCTGTGCACTGTGCTGAGCTTAAAAGAAGAACGGAGCACTTATAGGTTACTACCTGTGTTCCATGATGTTGATCCGTTGTTCAAACATCAAAGCTTATAGATATTGTGTTAACTGTAATGATAAAGTACTCTCAAGTTTATTTTGTTATTCTCTCAGTCTGTCTGTCATTAGTCCTATGATGTTTAGTTTAATTGAGTCACAGTTATGAATGGCTGTGTGATCAAGTTTTTCCATTTCTGGTGACATTCACTGGATTGGATGTTTTCATATTTTAGGTCTGCCATAGTTTGGATCCAGGTCTTTCTTGGCCTGCCTCATCCCTTCTTCCCCTGTAGTAAACACCAAACCCTGAAGAATGGCTTTGAAAAGGTCTGCATCTTATATGTCCATAAAGTTATATTCTGTATCTTTTACACACAGTGAATGGGAACTGGGGCAGCTGGCTCTCCTGGTCGGCCTGCTCGGCCACGTGTGGTCCAGGTTACAGAAGTCGAAGGAGAGCTTGTGATAATCCCAGCCCCGGCCCGTGTGGTCGGCCGTGTGTGGGCAGTGACTCCCAGACAGATACTTGCGACTCCGGACAGAGTTGCTGTGGTAAGTACTGTAGAAAACATTACGGCTTAATTATTGTTTTTGTAGTCATTTTCATCATCATCATCAGTATCATTATTGTTATTATTACCATATTAGTCAGATAATCATCATTTTGGTTTTTATCCTTTTTATTATGAAAAACATCATCATCATCATCGTTATGTAGCAGGATTTGTGCAGAACATCGATCTCATCATGGTCTGTCTGAAGGATACTTACTGTGTAGCTAGCTCTCCCGCCTCATATACTTTTATATTCAAGGAGTCACTTTTATCCTGTGACCATCTTCATGCTGGTCGGTCCCTGCCCCTCCTTCATGATTAGTATAATCATCTTTATTATCATCATTATCTCTTCTATCACCACCATTATCATCACAATAATTATTATTATTACCAGATGTCATGCTGAGTGGTGTTGGTAATCACACTTCTCCATATCTTGCTATACCTTGCTATCTCCACCACTGAATTGACATACCATAAAATTATTAATTCATCGTAAAATTATTCAATCCACTTCAGTCGATGGGAACTGGAGCATGTGGCAGGCTTGGTCTGCATGCTCTGCGACCTGTGACATTGGCACCAGGCAGAGATACAGGTCATGCAATAACCCGTCACCCAATTACTGTGGAGCAAAATGCAGAGGGGAGGAGCTAGAGATGACAGCTTGTGTGACAGGCGTTCCTTGCAAGAAATGTGGTGAGAGAATAATCATTTTTATAATACTGTGTTAGTTTTTTCAGTCTCTGAAGCTTCTACTGTAGTCAACAACTAAAAAAAAATCATCACTTAAACACCATTTCTGATACACAGAAAGATACCTATGTCCAACAAGGCAAATCTCATTATGTGACAAGTTAAACAATTAAAAAAAAAAAGCCTGCTTCCATGGAGATTTGAATCTGCGAATACCAGAATGGCAACTTTATGTATTAGTGACTGCCCTATGGCAACTCCTCTATTCTTTCAACTAGACTCAATATTTCACAGGATGATGCTGCTATGGGGCACATCTACCTAATGATTATTCCTTTCCTGCTAGATTTCCATGGAGGCAAGTTTTAAAAACTGACTACACTTCAGAGATCAATCTCACCAAAAGAGAAACTAGGAAATGTCATATGAAGTGAAGTCGAGGAGTCATACACCACCCGCTTATAAAGAGATAGTCTTAAGTACAGTATTCTTTAAGGTGTTTTAATGGGTCTCTGCTGCGTTAAAAGAATGGGAAGTAACTGTATACTTAGGAAATATGGTATTTCTGTAAACTGCACACAGTAAGTAAAATATAAAGAGATTCAGTCCCTGAGTATCATCATGTAGCAGGTCCTTTGCAGAACGTCGCTCTCATCACAGTCTGCCTGAAAGAAACTTGGTCTCTCGCCAGTTCTCCCGCCTCATACACTCAAGGAGTCACTTATATCCTGTGCCCATCTTCGTGTTAGTCGGCCCCTGCCCCTCCTTCCTGGTACCATGCCTTCTGCTATAATTTTTTCCAATCCGTCGTGGCGCTTGATATGACCAAAATATTTCAGCTTTCATGAAAGGATGCTGTTTATTAGCCAATCTTCCTTGATGTTCAGATCTTTTAAGATGTCAATATTTCTCATCTTCTTTGTCCAAGATTTTCTGAGAATCTTTCTATAGCATTTCAGCTCAAAATCCCCTATTCCCTTTCTTAAGGACTGAGAGATAGTCCACGACTCACATAGTCCCAGAGTAACCCCACATTATTTTAGAGCCCAGCTAGCATTGGAGGAAGCCACTGTGGTGTAGCAGCTAGACTCTCATCTGCCGATCCAAAGGTTGTAGGTTCAACTATGCATGAAGCCAGATTTTTTCATACAAGTTGTCCCAGTCTTAAATTGGTACCAGATAAAGTCCAGGTAAGTAAAGGTGGCCAGCGTGATGTTGACCACATCACCCATCAAGAGTCGATTGGTCTATAAGAATGTAAGTCTAACTTCATAAGCCTGCTGCACCCCTGGGGGACCTGTATTTTTTTTTTTTTTTAATTAGCTCTTGCAGGGCATTTTTATTTCCCAGGATATTTCCTAGTACCCATTTCAGGCTGGGTCGAACTGCAAGGTTAGGTTGGAACATATAATAATCGGGACCAAAGGTAAGTGCGCTAGCCACTATACCATGTGGCTCTCAGTCTTCTTATTCATGATCGTCAACCTGTGGTGCTGTTATGAATCACATAAGGCTCACAGTCTAGTCCTCCACTGCATTCTATCCTGTGCGATCCTTTTGATATCATGGATGAAATCCAGTCCACCACCTTTGATCCCACTCAACAATGTTGTCCTGGGGTTTATCTTCCATATTTTAGTTTCCAAAATCCATTCGTTTTACTTTTCAGTAAAACCGTTTAGTAATTCTCTGTCCACTTCTCCTCATGAATCTTCCCACTATCCATCCCCAATAATGGCTGCTCAGTCTGTGCAAATGTAACCAATGAATGCTCCCTTTTCTCTGTTGCAGAAGTGAAAGATTGGACAAGCTGGGGGTCCTGGAGTGGATGCAGTGCAACTTGTGGCTATGCAGCCCGGAGCCGGTCAAGGTCATGTGCTGTTATACAGCCTGGGACTGACTGTGGCTCTGAATGTCCCGGCAGAAACCAGGAAGAGATGCAGTGCGTCGGGTTGTCTGAGTGCTCTGGTGAGTCCATTTAGACACATTTTCTCCCCATTTGGGTTCAGGAACCCCATTATAAAGGAAAAAAGACGATGCCCACTGCTGCTTAACAAAGTAAAGTAAAAAGTAAAGGACCCTTTTCCACGCCTTCAGGCATATAGGGCTAGACCTATATTTTTATAGACCAATCGGCACAAGATAGGTGATGTGGTCAGCACAGTGAGAGTCCATCTCTCACATCCCTATAAGAAAATTGACAATACAGATGATTTGAAAATACTGACCTTGACTGCGATGCTGATTTTTCTCTTCCACATCGTATTCAGCTGCGACATCGCGGCTGTTGCCATATCAAGTCTTTGTCTTGATCTCTATGGTACAGCTGCCATCATTGCATATGTGGGAGCCAAAATATTTAAAGGTTCAACTTCTAGTTTTTTTCCCTTTTATCTGTATGTTGGTAGGTACTTAATTATTGTGACTATTTACCAGAATCTTGCTTTTTTGGCATTAATTTACCTATTACTTTACTTACTTATTGTCAGAAAGCAATGGCAAACTACTGAACACAAAATTACCTTGTAAAATCATACAGCAGCAAATTCTTTCTTGTGTTGGTCTGCAATGTCCTGAAGAGGACCGTATTTATTTATTATTCTGTAGTTGATGGCAATTGGGGCTCTTGGCAGTCCTGGTCCCAGTGCTCTGTGACATGTGGCCGAGGTATCATGGAGAGGCGAAGACGCTGCGACAGCCCACCACCTGATGCAAACGGTCAGCCTTGCCCAGGACGTGACTATGAACGAAAATCTTGTGAAAATACACCATGCCTTATCTGTGGTATGTATTTGTTGATGTCATTTCTACTTTTAACAGTAGTAAAATTATGGAAAATATAATGGTAAATATGTGTCACAAAATTTACATCATTGTTATTTCTACTTTTAACAGTAGTAAAATTATGTAAAATATAATGGTAAATATGTGTCACAAAATTTACCAGCCTCTCCACAATGATATTAAAGGGCTCTGGAGAGGGTAAAAGGAGAAGAGGCAGGCACACAAAAATCTGGACATAGAACTTGGCTGAGTGGACAGGCCTCAAACATGCAGTCATGAAGTCCCTTCCATCTGACCAACACAGGTGGAGAGAACTGTTCAGACAGTCAATGACAACTGTTGACACAACACATGGTGTTATGGGATATGATGAACTTTTGATTTATTCATTAATGTATTTGTTGATGTAATACTCTGCCCTTTCCAGCTGTTTTGATTTGTGGCAAGAAAGGCTCAGAGCAAATAGTCTGATTTGTCTTGTGTGTATACATTGTTTTCTCCTTTCCCCATTTTTTTTCATTAAGCTTTTTAGTCACAGTTCAATGAATAAATTTCTATCTGTCTGTCTGCCTGCCTGCCTGCTTCTCTGTCTGTCTGTCTGTCTGTCTGTCTTTCTGTCCATCCATCCATCTGTCTGTCTAAACAATCCATATAATCTGTTTTCAGTTGATGGGAACTGGGGCTCATGGCAGACATGGAGCTCATGTTCTGTGACATGTGACAAGGGAACAAGAGAGAGGAGGAGGTCATGTGACAATCCATCGCCCAATGAATGTGGCCGGAAATGTTTAGGCAGAGAAAGTGAAACCATTGATTGTGATACAGGGACTGATTGTTGCAGTAAGTTTTGTTTGTGGTTGGTTCTTGGAATTCTTTTATGACCCAAGGCTCAGTGGTCAGACCTTTTACATTATGCTCTGAAGGTAGTGGGTACATTTCATGGACCCATTTCTCAGTTTGCATGTGCAGTTTTCACTAAGATCCCTGGGTTTTGTTGCTGGAGCTATGGAGTTCATGCTTTATGTTAAGATCTTGTATGTGGCTAGCCTTTCTGATACAAAGCCATGTGGAATAAATGCCAGTGCAATTACGTTTATCTTTTTGTATGAGCCTTTATGAGCAGTGATTGGTTGTTTGAATATATTATTGAATGAATGATCTGAGGTTCAATTTTGGGGTTAAAAGTGGAAAAAAAAGGGGGGGGGGGCAGTTATTTCTTAACAAGATGCAGATAATGTTGCCATGCTTCATTTTAATCTATTGTTACTGTACTATGCACTTGACAAGATACAGCCAGGCAATAAATTGTGCAATCTATTGTTTGTGACTCTTTGTTCACATACCCCTTACTCACAGCTTCTCTAGATCACTCACTCAATTCACCCCAGTGCAAACTTCCCTCTTTCACATACAGACTCATATCCTCTATTGCTCTCTCACTTCTTCACTCCTAGACACACCTTTCCACAAATGCATACATGCATTAGATACCTGGATATCTTCATTACCAAGTGTATTGCCAACTAATTTAAACAACCAAGCTTTCCACTCTCTTTCGCTGCATACCATCTCTTCTGCAGTCATATTTTTCTATTTCTCTACCTGATTACAGAACTGTCCACCAGCTTTTGTCTTAACCTTTCACTTCATTGGTTGCCTTTAACTTAATCAGTTGTCACATTATGATACAGTTTGTCCAATCTCATGATGTCAGCAAACAACATTGTTTCTTTCTGATGTACATCTGATGTGTTTTCTCAGTTGATGGGAACTGGGGCTCATGGCAGCCTTGGAGTCCATGTTCTGTGTCATGTGGCAGTGGAACAAGAGAAAGGAGGAGGTCCTGTGACAGTCCATCAGCTAATGAATGTGGCCGGAAATGTTTAGGCAGAGAATTTGAAACCAATACTTGTGTTACAGGAATAGATTGCTGTGGTAAGATTTTTGTGTGTGATTTATGATTGGTTACATGCATTCTTATATGAGTTAGGATTGGTTATTTTAATGTATGTTTACATAATGATTGGTTATTTTATTGACTTCTCTAACGAATTATGATTGGTTTTTAAAATGTTTTGTTGAGTGCTGAAATTTCATTGGGTATTGGAAGGTTTTTTTTTTTTTAATGATAAGTGGTAGAGATTTTTATTCCTGATTTTCTGTTCCTGTTTGATTGTTTGATCTGAGATTATATTATATGATTTGTTGTTGATTGTGATAGTACTTAGACAGGTGATCTTTGGCCAGTTTATATACATTGAAGACTTACATTAAGAATCATTCAGTGGAGATGATGAACGAGCACAGTAAAGTGATTGGCAAGGAATACTAATAAAAAAAACAAGTTTTTATCATCATCCAGCCATCTCCACATCTTTCTGCACTCACTCATTTACTACCACACTTCCTCACCATCGGCCTCACTCACTTCCTTGTTAACTCATTCACTCTAAACCATCTCTCACTTACTTTTTATCCACTCTTTCTTTATGTCACTCACTTGCTTCCATCTTTCGCTTTTTCCTTGACTTACACTGTTCTGTATTCTTCTGCTCACACCTTCCCTTCCCTCACTTTATCTCTTTCTCTAGGCTCTCGCTCTATATCACTTCACTCATTCACATATCCTCATCTATGTACATACATTAAAGCATTAATATACATCAATACCAATTGCTACGCCAACTAATACAGGGAATAAAACATCTTCACAACACTCATGCTCTGGCCATGTTGTACATCTCTCACCAATTTTTCCTAATCTTATTATAAAACTTTCCAGTATCTACCATCTTCACTTTTGCTTTGTCATTTGCCTTCAGCCTTTCCAGTTGTCACATTAGGGTACACTTTGTCTCATCTCATGATGTAAGCAGAGAACATTGACTATATCTTTCTAATGTTTTTTTGGTCTTGATGTTGTGTTTTTTTTAGTTAATGGGAACTGGGGACCGTGGCAGTCTTGGAGTTCCTGTTCTGTAACATGTGACCAGGGAACAATAGAGAGACGAAGATCATGTGACAATCCATCACCCAATGAATGTGGCCAGACTTGTTTTGGCAGAGAATTTGAAACCAATGTTTGTGGAACAGGGACAGAATGTCCTGAAAAATGTGGTAAGAATTTGCTGTGTGATTTGTGACTGGTTGTTGAAACATTTAGTTAGATGATATTTTATTGATTAATTAGTCATTTTGTTTTGTGATTGGTCATTTCAACATAGCTTTAAGTCTTCTTCTTGTCATTCATCCTATTGACATAATTGTTTTGTGCCTGTTTACAGCAAAGCTGCTGTATTTATGCCTTTCAGTCGACACATCTGACTTCATCAGGGATTAAATTCCCTAATAGTTTTGTGGGACATGACGTAACCTAATTTGTGTAGTGTTCTCTCTGTCCCCTTATCTAAAGGTTTATGCCATGGTGAACCAATCAAGGGCAACTGCCTGTAGACTGACTGGCCTCAAGGGAAGTCAGTGGCAGATCAGGGGCATTTCCCCACTAGCCAAGGAGGCTTCCATTCATGCAGATCTGAGACAGGACGCTCTGGTCCAGGGCTTACCCTCACGTCCTGCACATGACTGCTTGATCTCACATCCATATGTTGAGCATCCCACTCCTCACATGCTGTGCCCTACGGAAATCGGTAGAGAGCAACACGTAGGTGCAGGATTCAGTGACCACACAAAAAGGCTTTTTTTTAAGCAAGTTAGACACCTTAAACGCTGTTTATTTGGACCGTTAGCATAATAGTATGAAAAAAGCATACACCTGGCATGATCTTCCATATTTGGTCCTGACACTCTGGTGAGTAGGGCCAATGGTAATGGACATTAGAACTTTTCTACCAACCAGTAGAACTTTAGATGGTCGGAACTTTATGACTTTGCTTTTATGCCATGGGACATGTATCTGATGGACATTTGGACCTAATCAGCAGACTGACAGTTGCAGATTATCGTGGCTGGCCTCAACGAGGTGATGACAATACTGAGGGGGGAGAATGGATGAATGGAGACCGGACTGTATGGAGAGAAACTGCCCATAGGCGATGTTGCTCATCTAAGCTGCAAGCAAATCTCTTGGTCCAGGACCAAGACTCAGTCGTCTGTTCACTTGACAGATTGTTTAACCAAGAGTTGTCATTTAGTAATATATTTGGCAAGCGGGCGTTACTCATGTTCCAAATGAGGTTAGATAGATGTTTTCACCCATGCACTGAGGGCGGGATGATGAGAGCCAGACTGGACACTAATCTCTGCCACCACCAACTCTAAGATCCCCTGTCACTTCAGTTCAGTTCACAAAGGTGAGCTCCTATCTGTAGGGTACAGTGGGGACATGTGGCAGGAGTCTTGCATGAGGATCCGTAAAACCAACACAGAGCAAGTTGGTACCAGAGGTGAGGTACGGAGTATTGTCCTTAATACACATCACAATAGCCTTAGCTTTCCCCCACGCCTATGACCGAAATCACCTTGCCACTAGTTCCAAGTGATTTGTGATTGGTTGATATAAGGCTTTTTGTTATATGATTAATGATTAGGTGAATGAAGATTATTGTTAATTATATGTTTTGTTAATTATGTTGGACTGAGTTGGGATGTTTTTAATTGGATTTTGGATAGTTATTATGTAACAGTTACCAATAACTTTATGAGTTGTCCCATTGTGATACAGTTTGTCAAATCTCATGATGTGAACAAAACAACATTATATCTTTCCGATGTACATTTGGTTTGTTTTCTCAGTTGATGGGAACTGGGGCTCATGGCAGCCTTGGAGTCCATGTTCTGTGTCATGTGGCAGTGGAACAAGGGAGAGGAGGAGGTCCTGTGACAGTCCATCACCCAGTGAATGTGGCAAGACTTGTTTTGGCCGAGAATTTGAAATCAATACTTGTGAAACAGGAAGAGAGTGCACTGAAGAATGCAGTAAGATTTTGTTATGTGATTTATGGTTTGCAATGGACCATTTAGTTGCATTATTTTTATTGGATATTGGAGTATTTTGTTATGCGATTGGTTGTTCGAACATAGTTTTAAGTGATTTGTGATTGGTTAATATAAACTGTTTGTAATATGATTAGTGATTAGTGATTAAAAAAGGATTATTATCATAGCACTCTGGACAGATCCATAGGTGCTCCGATGTCCTCCTCAAAAGCTTTACAAGTGTAAAATGACTGATGACACCTGTTCTGTGTTGGTAAATGAAACATCTTGTCCCCTTATTGAAATGTTCATTCCTTGCAGCTCCAGGCTGCATCCCTATGTCCATCAGTCTAGACAGGGAAACAGAATCATGTCCTTTGGTGTGGTCTTCTGTACGGTAAGTGCAGCGCATGGCATTGATAACATCACTTCTGTCCAGTACTGGGCCAGCTGTAGCAACAGCAGTGTCAGCAAGATAGTCTGCACGCTCGTTCCCTTGAACACCCGCATGACCTGGCACAAAGATGGAGGTCAGGGCAGATATTCGTGAAGTGCTTAGTGTTTCAATCCATTCTTGCCTGATAAATCCAGCTTGGATTTTGTTATGCATATTCATCGAGTCACTAAGAATGCAAACGTGTGTGAACTTTTGAGGACCAAGATATGCCAAAGCCCTTGTTACAGCCATAGTGTCCATTGTAAGGCTACTAGTTGTAACAGCAAAGGCGCCATTAGTCTCCTTGATGGTTTTCCCCCTTTAGCTCAATGTGAATGCCCATGCGCTTTGCTTGCTCCGAATTACTGACCCATCTGTGTAAACTATAGCATAACCTTCATCTGTGTTTTCTACACTCAGTGTTCTGACTAAAGTGTCAACAATGCCAGGAATCTGTTCTCTACAGCTTCCATCAAGTGTGATATGGTATTATGATTAGTGATTCAGTGAATAAAAGGTTTTGTTAAATTTTGTTGGGTTTGAAACGATAGCTTGAGTTGGGATTTTTAATTTGAATTTAGATACAGTCTTTTTTAATGAAAAAATAATTTGTGCTATAAAAAGAATATCAACATTTGTAAATTAGTGTAACCAAGTGTATATTATTAGGTGTACATTGCAGTAAATGGAAATTGGGGCTCTTGGAGTTCATGGTCTGCATGCCCTGTATCCTGTGGTGACGCAGTGATAGAGAGGAGAAGACTCTGCAACAACCCACCCCCAAATGTGTGTGGACAGACTTGTGTTGGTCCAATGGAGGACAGCAAATTACAGCGCTGTGGTCCACCAGAAAGTAAGTTACATCCAAGTTTTCTATGTTGTTATGTGGGTGAGTTCTGCCTGTGTGTGTTCCAGGGCTATTACGGAGAATGAAAAAAAAACTGCCCCCCACTGCCCCCCACCTTCTTCCCCCCCCCCCCCCCCCCCCCCCCCCCCCCCTCCCTAAGAAGCATGTCATTGGAGGCAACAAATTTGGGGTGTTTTATTCAGAGTTGAGTGCATCTGCATACAGATAAGTCAGATATGTAAAAGTGATGTACATGCTAAACTCAAATTTTAGATAAAGAGTGGACAATCAACTAGAACTTTTCACCAGAATTTACACCCATGAATACTAAGTAGGAGAAGAAGAAGAAGTAGAAGAAGAAAAAGAAGAGGATGAAGGTGAAGACAAAAAAGAAAAAGAGGTTTGAACAATGGATCAACATTATGGCACATGGTTAGTAACCCATAAGTGTTCCATTCTTCTTCTAACTCATGTCTGAGTCCAAAGAAGCTAAGCAAAGTGCACAGGCTCTGTAGCATCGGCTAGGATCCTAAAATACTTTGGGTAGATTTTAAACTCCAAATGTTGCCGGGTCAGCGCCATTAGGCTACTCATTTCGATTTCCAACTGCCAAGGGATTTTTACGTGCACAACAATGCACATGGGCATCCAATCTCACTACCCAGGGGGAATTACTAGAAGTCCAAGTCCACGTGAAAAAATCCAAGCTCTTACCGGGAATTGAACCCGGAACCTCCCTCTAGCACTTGGGGTGGACACCATGCCTTGAGACCACAAAGCCCCAGAAGAAGAGGAAGAACAACAACAAGGATGATTAACAACAACAACAACAAGGATGATTAACAACAACAACAACAAGGATGATTTGTTAAAATAGTTTTGTCTTTTTATGAGTTTTTGTTTGAAAACAATTGAATGGAAGACAAAGTATCTGGACTGTCATTATAAATCAAACATTTTACAATCCTGAGGCACACCTGCTTTTTAGTCAAGAAGTAGGCCTTTTTTATTTTTAGTTAAGAGGTCAAGTGATGTCTACTGCCTTGCCTAACAGTAAGATACATGTCGAAATGTCTACAGTCAACTTAAAATGATCACAGATGATGGTTTACATCTCACAGTTGCCTTGCTTAATTCTACTATGCTTGCAAATATAATGTTTATACATTTGCAATAAAGCAATTGGCTGTCAAGTTTTCCTGTATGATCACCGAACACACTGGCCACCATGAACCCCTTTTAACAACCATGAACAGATGAAAAATGCAGTTACAGACATGTGACCCTGTCAAGGCTGGGTCAACCTGAGAGCTAAGATCATTTTTGAAAAAAATTCCGGCCCCCATTAGGAACCTAACCCACGATCTTTAGATTTGCAGCCAAGCATCTAGCCGCTAGACTACGGCGGCTCCCATATTTATATAAGGTTTAGATTATTTTCCTCAGCATGAAAGAGGACATCAGGGTGGATATAAAAAAGTGGGGTGGTCATCTTTAAACTGTCATTATGACATCACTGTGTTCATGTGATTATGATGTCACATGCTTAATACTTTTGATAGCTTTAACAGCCATATTGATAGGTTACAAAACAATTGCATGGTTATTGTAATCTTTATCCCACTTGTAAGATTTTTTTTAGGTCTTTAAATGTCAACAGGCTCCACCTGAATGATAACTTTCATGATGAACTCCTGGAGCATTTGGTGTAGTCGTAATGTAAACAGTATTGGAATGCTTCACAAACTATCAGTTCAGAGTAGTAAATTGGTCATCACAATCTGGTGAGAGAATGCAGCAAGGAGTGACAAGGGGATCTGGCCGATACTTGATGCTCAGAGGAAAAGCAAGATGGGCATATAATCAGACTGCTACTGGTACTGTTGGTACTGAAACTCTGCACTGGCTGCTGAAGATAGGGGACAGAGCACTTATGGGAATGCCCTGAGTGCTGTGATGTCAGTTCTTGAATCAGCTCAATTCACAATCACTACAGTGTCAAATGTGGTAGTAAATTCATTAACCTACACTGTATGATGTTACATTTGTTAGTGCCTCCCTGTATAGGTTCAGGAGCCCACTAACAAGCCTGTCTTACAAAGGCAACTAATTAGGGGTAATATATAATAATATAGGTAAATTAGGAAATCGACTGGGTTTGGCCAAATGCACAGATATTGCAGCATTGTATAAACCACAACACAGCATGCTAACCACCATCTTAAGGGTAAACACCAGAGGAAGAAGAAGAAGAGGAAGAAGATAAAAAAGTTCAAATTAAGAAAGATAAATTCGAAACATTTATTATCATTTTGTGCGACAAGGCACATTCATGTTACATATATTTTTTTTAAAGTCTCAAGGGGGTGCTCTGGGGCCCCCAGCAAGACTTTACCACTGCCTGCAGCTTGTCATATCAAAGTGTGAACAGAAGCAATAAACCTGTTATATTCTCTATCCCTGAACACCTATAGTTGTCGGACAGTGGTCTCAATGGAGCAGCTGGTCGGAATGCAGTGTTTCCTGTGGTATAGGGTCTAGACTTCGCTCTAGATCCTGCAGCAATCCACCACCTGCCTTGTGTGGGTCCTCCTGCCCAGGGCAGACAGATGAACGAGTCACATGCAGTGGGACTGGTCTGTGCGGCTGTGGTCAGTATAAAATTATGGATTTTTATTTCTTGTATTGGCAATGTCTGTGACTGACTTCCGCACATTAGCTACAGTCTACTAACTATCTGTGATTAACCTACACACATTAGCTACAGTCTACTAACTATCTGTGATTAACTTACACACAATAGCCGACTCTACTAACTATCTGTGAATTACTTACACACATTAGCTGCACTCTGCTAACTATCTGTGATTAACTTACACACATTAGCTGCACTCTACTATCTGTGATTAACTTATTCACATTAGCTACAATCTACTAACTTTCTGTGATTAACTTACACACAATAGCTGCACTCTACTATCTATCTGTGAATTACTTACACACATTAGCTGCACTCTACTAACTATCTGTGATTAACTTACACACATTAGCTGCACTCTACTTTCTGGGATTAACTTACACACATTAGCTGCACTCTACTATCTGTGATTAATTTACACACATTAGTTGTACTCTACTAACTATCTGTGATTAACTTACACACATTAGCTGCAATCTACTAACTATCTGTGATTAACTTATACACATTAGCTACAGTCTACTAACTATCTGTGATTAACTTACACAATTAGCTCCAGTCCACTAACTATCTGTGATTAACTTACACACATTAGCCGACTCTACTAACTATCTGTGATTAACCTACACACATTAGCTACAGTCTACTAACTATTTGTGATTAACTTACACACAATAGCCGACTCTACTAACTATCTGTGAATTACTTACACACATTAGCTGCACTCTGCTAACTATCTGTGATTAACTTACACACATTAGCTGCACTCTACTATCTGTGATTAACTTATACACATAAGCTACAATCTATTGACTCTCTATGTTTAACTTCCACACATAAGCTACAATCTATTGACTCTCTATGATTAACTTCCACACATAAGCTACAATCTATTGACTCTCTATGATTAACTTCCACACATAAGCTACAATCTATTGACTCTATGATTAACTTCCACACATAAGCTACAATCTATTGACTCTCTATGATTAACTTCCACACATAAGCTACAATCTATTGACTCTCTATGATTAACTTCCACACATAAGCTACTATCTATTGACTCTCTATGATTAACTTCCACACAGAAGCTACAATCAACTGCCTCTCTGGGATTACCTTTGGCATGTAAGCCACCCTCTTCTGATAGTCAGCTTCCATAAATTAGGACTAGCTACAGTCTACTGACTGACCACGATTCACTCTCCACAAAGTGGGTACAATCAGCTGACTGTCTATGAGTTACTTCCACAAATTATGATTAGTTACAGTCTGGTGATTAAATAAATAAAGCCCCAGTTTGTCTCCAATTGCAGAAGTAAAAGAATGGACAAACTGGGGACCCTGGAGTGGCTGCAGTGCAACTTGTGGTTACGCCACCCGGAGTCGATCAAGAGCTTGTGCGGTTGTCCAGGCTGGGAATGATTGTGGTTCTGGCTGTGCAGGGAGCACCCAAGAAGATGTGCAGTGTGTGGGGTTAGCTGGATGTTCAAGTGAGTACATGAAGCCATTTTTAGTAAGGCAACGGGCGATTCAATTTATAATTCCTAGGTACCTGGTTCAATTCCAGTTGTGGGGGATTTAGTAGCAGACTGGCTTGTGTTGGTTTTGACGGGGGTATCAGTAAACAGTGGCAAACTACCAAAAAAAAAATTATCTAGTAAAACAAAAAATGCTGGGGTTGGCTCTGTAGAGTCATGTGGTGATTACCAGAATAAGTAAATATATTCCTGCAATCAAGAGGTGAGGAAAAGATAATGGTGCTGGACAGGACACACACTGAAAAAAAAATTAAAAAACTAGAAAGCTCTTTCTCGGTAATCCTCAGTGCAAAAGAAAAGTAGAGAAAGATCTAAAATACACAGAGAAGTGAATTAAAAATAGCTCTTGGGACATGGGGAGAGCTGTAGTAGTTGATCAAAGATAGGAAAGTGTGAGTTGGTTGAAACCTTATGCTGCAATAGGGAATACAGGGGAAAAAAAGAAGACCACACACTAATATTCCACAAAGGAATAGAAAATAGAAAATGCACTTATTTGTTCCTGATAAAGAACTGGAAGCTGAGTCAGAGTAGCTGTAGATGATAACCTACCGATTCAAAAGTTCTTGGCTGGAATCGCACAAAGGCTGCTTTTTAATATTTGATATTAGCCCTGACCCACCATAAAATGGTGGAATAAAAAGGAAAATAAAAGTGAGAGGTGGTGTGTTGACAGTTTCTCCTCTCAAGTGTTAATTTGTCTATACAAATATCTGCTTCTTCTTCTTCTTTGCGTTCACCAACTATAAACTCCGGCGCAAAGTTCTTGTTGTTTGTCCACCTCTGGACTACAGTCCTATTTCAGAACCTGAGTGTTGCGTGTGTATTCATTTGACAGATCTGAATCATTTATGTGCACACTGTTGGTTTCTAGCCTCTCAGGCAGATGCACTCTGACTTTGAAGGAAGCTCCCAAATATCGACTCTAGCAACATGCTTTTAGGTAGGCAGTGGGTCTGTTCTTGTTTTCGCTATAATAGGACCCCGGAACCCGCAGTGGGACTCTTCTTCTTCTGGGTGTTCACTGGCTGTAACCACTGGCAGAAAGTTCTGGTTGTTTATCCACTCCTTGACTTTGGTTTTCATCCAGAACGTTCTGGCTGTTTATCCACTCCTGGACTTTGGTTTTCATCCAGAACTTGAGTTTTATATGCAGATATGTTTTTACAGATCTGGCTTATTTGTATGTTCCTTGTCTCTTAGAAAAATGCACTTTGACAGTCAAGAAAACACTCCCTAATTCATCACCTCTTATGGCGTGCTTGCTAGTGGGGAAATGGGTCTATCATTGTTCTCCAAAATAGAGTCCGGAAAACCACATGGGGAGTTTAAAATTTGATTCTGGCATGAACTATGCAGTATGTCTGGTGCACCAAGAGCGTGAAAAAGATTCTTTCATTTTTAATGTCGGTGGGGGAAAAGGGGGGAAGGGGAGGGGGGTCAGAAAGAGGGAGGGGGCGTTTGAGAATTATTTTTGTTTCAAGCAATGCAACATATATGATCAATATGTTGTACCAGTCAACACAAATGTAAGATCAGCTTGAGAGGGTGGCCAAACCAGATGAGGGTAGCCTTTGGTGAGTCAGGACGGTGGTCATCCACTGCACCAGACTTCATCTGCAGTTGCTTTGACTTGTCCTTCCACTGGTTCTCAATGGACACAGGTAAGAGAGTGAGGTCAGTGAATTTGCACAACTCTTGCTCACTTCAAACCAATTCATTGTGCAAGTTACTTCTTCATACACTACAGCTTCATGTACCCGTGTATTTCCGGAGCCCTCACAGGAAGAAAAGAACTGTAACACTGCACACTACCAGGCATGTCGTCTAAGGGTAGGGTTAGGTTTGAGGTTGACTACTTCATCCTGTAAAAAATGTTAGCCACAAAAATCAACCACGGAAAAGTCAAAAAAGATAAATTAAATATACTTGATGTGAGTTCAAATCAGCTAGGTATAAAAATCCACAAGGGAAAGACAAAGATAATGAGAATGTATCTCGCAAATAGTAATGTGGTTTCTCTATATGGTAGTCCACTTCAAGACGTGTATTCGTACTATCTATACAGTCATGTAAAGATGAGGGAACTGATAGAGACATTAAAATACAAATAAAAAGGCATGAGGCACTTTCATAGCACTTGGAGATTTGTGGAGGTCAAAAGAAATTAAAACTAATTATAAACTTACAACTTTTAATTCTAATGTCAAATCAGTGCTGTTGTTTAGAGCGGAAATATGGAGAACAACTAAGGCAATCACTAAAAGACTACAAACATTCATCTACTGGTGACTGAACAGAGTAGAGGAAATTAAATCACTAATGTATAGCTTTGGGAGAAAAATAAACAAGCTTTAGTGGATCAGGAAGTGAAGAAAAGATGCTGGTGTTGGATAGGACACATGTTGAGAAAACCTGAGAACAATATAACTAGAATATCTTTACACTGGAACCCACAGAGGCATTGAAATAAAGGAAGAGGAAAAAACACGTAAAGAAGGGAGCTAGAGTGAAGGTTAAAAAGATGGGAAGGACATAAAATAGTGAAGGATTGAACGATTTAGTCAGCTAATTCAGGGCCTATGACTCATTGGGGGAATAGAAGGCAAAAGAAAAAGAAGAAGAAGACAATTTCATGACTGATGAAAGAAAGAGTGGTCTTCATCACTTGTGATGGATGGACGAACAACAACAGTATTCAGCTATTGTATGTATGTACTAACAAATACTGAAGAAAAAAATGAAAATGTCTTCAAAGAAATTAACCCACAGAAGAGAACCGATTACCTGTATCACACTTTATACTGACCTTTGTTGTATTTTACAGCCCTAGACCAGTGGTCAGCCTGGTCCGCTTGCTCTGTGACATGTCGTGGCCGAGGTATCAGGGAGCGTTTCATCACCACTACTATAATTGTTCGCAGGGGAGATGTTGCGGTGGAGACCAATGAGACCAGAAGAGAGACGCAAGACTGTGAAGTCACACAGCCAGAGTGTCCAAGTATGTCACTGAGTGTATGGGAGCTCTTAGTTCCTGGTTTCTTTTGGTTAGTCAAGCACTGGTATAACAGTGATCCTCCTTCTTTCATTTCTGTTTGCCCCTTCTTCCTTCCTTCTTGTCTTCATGTCTTCCCTCCTTCCTTCCTTGCTTTCTTTCAATCCAACTAGATAGAAAATGCAGACAACACAATCTGGCCACTGTGAAAGCAGAAGTTCAGGTTTTGATTTTCAATAATTATTTAGATGATGAATAGTCATTTTCACAGACAGGTGAGAAATTTATAGGTTTCTATAGCTCAGATTTGGGGGAAAATTTAGAAGGAAGAATATGGTGCTTTTGCATTGACTACAAGTGGTCTGACTATGGAACTCATGGCAGTAACTTAAGCAATAACCTGGCTGGAGGCACAGACCTTCACTGGGACATGCTTTCTGACATTTGACTCATGAGCATGCCGAGGAAGGTAGGGATGGGCTAGACCTGAAAAAAGTGGTTAGTGTCTAGAGGCAGATGTGAGGGTAATCTGTTGACTAATCAGCTGTCTTTCTTTCTTTCTTTTTTAGTTTTCCTTTCTTCCTTTGCCTGTCATTGTCTGTATTAAGGATGGGCTTTCTTAGGTTCCTTAGTCCATGGACAAAGAAGACTTATCTATTTGGCATGGAGGCTTGTTATTAGAGCTCCTTCACCTGGTGGATCGCTGTCTGCAATTGATGAGCTCTGTCTTCTTGGCGTACATCTGTTTGATGATAGAAAGAGAGTTTGAAACCTCTTCTTCTAATTTACACTTCAACCCCCCCCCCCCCTTTCCCCCACCTAGAAAACCAGGTAGTCTCTTTCAGTCTTTTCTCTTCCCTTTGACCCATCCAGCTTCGGGGGGCCATGCTATTAGCTACACAATCACAGGTGTAGCTCACAGGTTCATTGAGAAACTCAAGATTCCCCTGCCTTGACAAGGTGAAGACACCTCCGGAGGTGGTACGTGTATACAACTCTTTAGTTCTTTATATGTATCAATCACATCATCCACTCACTTGACATGACAGTGTGGTCTGCATGTTGGTATACATTGATTGTTTTATTTCTGTTGTTTTCTAAAATGCTACATGCCTCATCTCCATGCTTGAAACCTTTTGAGTATTTGATTCTCGCCTTATTTTTAAAATAGACCCACGTGTGCTCACCACCAGTCAGCCTGGTGCGTATTGGGTTGTATTTCAACCCTGGTGAAGCCCTGTCTACTACAAGGCTCTATGGGGGCTAGAGACGAAAAGCCATGCAAAGAAATACTTGGATACAGAATTTGGCTGACTTTAGCTGAATTTTAGCCTCAAACATGCAAACAACTTTTGCATCTGACTGATAGAGGTAGAGAATCTAATCAGTATGTCAACTGGTTACCCAATGGCATGCAGCAGTAAGCGACTATGATGTTGATGATGATAATGATGGCACTCAACAAGATGATAGGGTCAGAATTACTCTTGCCACATTTACTTCTCAGGTCATCTGCTGGCATACATTCTATACTTGGCTGATCCAGGAGCCCATGTCCAGTTTAAAACAATGTGCGTTGTTGAGGATTTGAACTTTTGATCCCAAGGTACTAGGTATTCATGCTAACTATAGCACCTTCACAATTAACTTAGTTCTTTTCTTTTTATTTGTCTCTTTTTTTTTAAAATTACATCATAAAAGTGTGAGTGTGTGTATGTGTGTTTGTGTTTTGGGGGTAAAGAAGGTATCCAATGTACTCTCTTTAATGTGTTGTCTAGGTGGATCTTCATTTCATTAAGACAGTTCTTGATGTCAGCCTTCCATCTTTTGCCAGGTTTTCTCCTTGCACTCTATTCATTATATTTCCCTAGCATGGCTCTCTGTGCCAGTTAGTATTAGGGTATTCTAATCAGATCAGCTCTATATCAAACTGAAATGAAAAAAATAAATGGTAAATGGTATTTTGTCTCTTGCAGTATGGGGCCAGTGGTCAGCATGCTCGGCCACCTGTCGTGGTCAAGGTCAGAGAGAAAGGATTGTTTCCACTTCGTCCGGTGATATCGGCACAGGGGATGTGACTGTGGAATCAAATGCCACCAGGAAGGAAGTACAGTTGTGTGAGGTGCAGGAACCTGAGTGTCCGTGTAGGTCATATTTTAGTTTTGGAATGTTGTTTTGTTGCCGTTGTTATTTTTGGTAATGTTTTGTCTTGATCAAACTTAGACCAACGATGTAAATTGCTCAATGTTGTTATTGATGTAAAAGGTGGTAACAAACACATTAATCCAGTCACTGGCTGTGAGACTCACAACTAAATCAAGTCTAAGATCCTAGAGACCTAACGCAGTAGTTCTCAGCCTTCCTAATGCTCCAACCTTTTAATACAGTTCCCCATGTTGTGGTGACCCCCAACCATAACATTATTTTCGTTGTAGCGGCGTCCGTGACTAAGGCATTGCGAGTTTGACTCGTAATCCAACGTACCGCGAGAAACCCCGTGCGGGCTGCATGGATTTTTATCGTGGTATGGGACGTCGCAAGTCTACCCAGCCTCAAATGGGTACCAGGATGGCTGTCCTGGGGAAGTAGAGACGGCTGGCGTAATGCTGACCACATTACCCACCGAGTGCCGATTGGTCTGTAAAAATATGGGTGCTCTTCCCATATGCCCGATGCGCCTAAAGGCGTGAAAAGGGATCTTTACTTTACTTTACTACTTCACAACTTCTGTACATATGTGTTTTTGGACGGTCTTAGGCGACCCCTGTGAAAAGGCTGTTTGACTCCCAAAGGGTTTGCAACCCACAGGTTGAGAATAGCTGATCTAATGTGTAGTAAGAACCATATGCTAGATTTCCTGCTAGATTTGCTGCTAGACTCACCATGTTTTACAATGTTTTCCAAGATTCCTTGAGTTACAAATTTTAAAACAGAGTAAATGGATGGTTTATGAGTGCTGTTCTTCTTTGATTCTGGAATATTAACTATTGCCAGGGCTGCTACAGAACTAACCAAACTCATTTTAACAGTCAATCAATCAATTCTCATCGTGCCAAGTGGCACATAAGGCAGAGACAAACTGTTGCCACCCAATTTGATCCTGAGCCATTATAACAGTAGCATACCGAATCTAGCCGGCCGTCATTAGATTTCCCTGAGTGTCATATACTTACCTCTTTGACTAAAGAGAAAAAGACAATTTTTTAATCTTGTGATATTTCATCATTGGTGTTTCTCCTGCATGTGAAACTTCATATATTTATTATTATTACTGAGCCCATCACATCTTTCAGATCCTTAGCAACATTAGACAACAAAGATACAAAAAATAGTTCTTTGTGTAGCCATTACAGATGCCCTGATTTCAACTTATTTGGAAGCTAAATAGGATATCTAGGATTAGACCTGTTGGACCTTTCAGAATTTGATTTTTTTTAAAGTCACAGGGGAAGGGAGGGGGGGGGGGTGTCAAGTATTATTACAGACTTAAATAAAGCTTAGGCCCCTTGAATGGGAGGGCTCAGCCCTTCACACCCACTCCATATCCCTACTATAATATTTTCTTTGTGTTGGTACCCCTGTATTATTCTGAGACACTTGTATCCAAATTCTAAATTATCTAATTTAAAAAAAAAATTATATATTATAAAAAATGAATTAACCCCTAATTGTAAAATCCTACACAGCTTGGGGTGAGTGGTCAGCTTGTTCAGTGACTTGTCGGGGTCAAGGTTTCCGAGAGAGGATTATTTCCACTTCAAGGATTGTGGAAACTGGCGTAGCAACTGTTGAGACTGATGCTGTGACAAAGGAGTATGAAAACTGCACTATCACAGAACCTGAATGTCCATGTAAGTAAAATGTATTTGTTGATTTTACTTTGCATACTTTTTAGGGAAAACCAATTGCACATTAAAACTCTAGAAAGGATATGTTTCATGAAGAAAGAATAATAATAAAACTGCATGTATGAAGGGTGTACATGTTTTTAGAAAAGGTAAACTAAAAAACGTTAGTGATAAAATCCAGATGGAAAAAAAAGAGCAAGAAGAAGACAAATGTATATAGGGGGATGGCCCATCCACATATCCAATTTTAGGTTCAAATCCCAATAGAAGTGTATAAGTAAAACTGAACTATGCTTCCCTGTCAACCAAGCCTAAGAATGGTTTCCAAGGCATGATGTGGGAAGTAAAGGTGGCTGTCATGATATTAAATCATCATCTATAAATGCCAACAGATCCATCAAATTTGTGGGAAGCACCATAAATAGAGTGTGCCCCATGGTGTGGGTGTGTGTGTGTGTGGGGAGAGGGGGGAGGGGTGTTTGGTAAAGAATGTAAGTAAATCTGTTTTATTAAACATGCAAGAAAATTCATATACTGACTAGTGGGGGTCTCTGTGGCAAAGTGGTCAAGGTCATGGGGTTGTTTCACAGATGGAATTTCATTTGGGTGTGTAGTTTTTATAGGAAATTCCTGGCGATCGTTGCTGGAGCTGCAGAGGTTTCTGCTCTTTGCGACACTCTGAACAGACCCCTAGCTGTTCTGCAGAGAGAGACCGAGCCTACAGGATAAAAACCCAGTGCTGTGAAACTGATCCTCTTGACTGTAACTTTAGCTTAACCTAACTTTATATGTGAACTTAACATAACAAAGGAAGTACTGCATAGGACAGTGGCTGTAACATAATGGCTAGACAACTAACTCCCACTCCAAGGTCTTGGGTTCAAATCAACACAGGGGTGCATTTTTTAACCCCTCCCCCACCACACACACACACACACACAAAATTGACCTTAGTTCCCATGTCCATTCGGTCTAAACTGCGTACCAGGAAATGTCATGGCAAGAAAAAGCAGCCAGTGCAATGTTAACCACATTACTTATCAAGTGCCAGTTGGTCTATAAAGATATGAGTTTAGATTCATAAGCCAGATGCACAACTTAAAAAATTTAATTTATATCATTTATGATATCATTAGACTGTTCCCCATGTGTCAGGGACTGCCTGTTTATTAAGTAGTCCTTTATGTAACCTTTGTTATGTTGTTCTTTGTTATGCTTTGATTGTAAGTTCTGATAAGGTTGAACAGGATATACCATCTCTTTCTTCATCATCATAGTCCTAAAACACTGCCTGTCATTGATTCAACAATTGCTGTTCAATGCATGATCAGTTCCTTCAACTCCTGCCAGTCACATGTTTGAGGCTTGTCCATCCCACCAAATTCTGTATCCAGGTCTCTCTTGGTCTGCTTCTTCTCTTCTTTCTCTTCAATGAGCCCTGCAAGATTGCTTTGGAGAGGTGGGTAGATCTGTACTGTTGCATTTTTCATTTCTATTTGTTGTTAAATGGGTTCATAGTTGCCATTGTCTTGAATGCTCTGCACAACTTGGTGGAATACTGATACATGATAGGGCAGACGTGGTTAGTGCCTTGTGGGAGAGCGTGTACAGTTCGGAGGAGCATATAGATCACCACAGTCTGGTGAGACTGATGCAGGGGGGGGGGGGGAGTGACGAGAGGTTCTGGCAGATGCTCGAGGCTCAGAGGAAAGGCAAGACGGACATTTAATCAGAATGCTACTGGCAATATTAGTATCTGAACTTTTCGCTGGCTGCTGAAGATGGGGATGGACCGCTTATGGGAATGCCCCGAGTGCTGTGATGTTGATTCTTGAATCAATTCAAACCAAATCATTGTGTTGAATAATGTTGAAGCAAATCACCCTTTCCTATGTAATTAAAATAAAATCTACTGACCATAAAAATGATCAGATCTGCACCAAAATGGGAGTACAAGGTGTTGACTTAACTTTTTTAGTCCCTAGGAAAACATCATGCATTCATTGGTCCCTGCCTAGAAACCCAATGAATGCAAGATATACAAATTTACTGTCTCTTTTTAATTGAGCCTCTGATGCTGAACCCCCCAGGACTGAAAGAGATAGAGAGCCACTCCACCTTTTTGTTTATTTTATACTCAGTAACTGACAATAGCCACTTCACCTTTTTTGTTTATTTTATAATCAGTAACTGACAAGAGCCACTCCATCTTTTTGTTTATTTTATAATAAGTAACTGACAAGAGCCACTCCACTTTTTTTTGTTTATTTTACAATCAGTAACTGACAACAGCCACTCCACTTTTTTGTTTATTTTATAATCAGTAACTGACAAGAGCCACTCCACCTTTTTGTTTATTTTATAATCAGTAACTGACAAGAGCCACTCCATCTTTTTGTTTATTTTATAATCAGTAATTGTCAAAAGCCACTCCATCTTTTTGTTTATTTTATAATCAGTAACTGACCAGAGCCACTCCATCTTTTTGTTTATTTTATAATCAGTAACTGACAACAGCCACTCCACCTTTTTGTTTATTTTATAATCAGTAACTGACAAGAGCCACTCCACCTTTTTGTTTATTTTATAATAAGTAACTAACAAGAGCCACTCCACCTTTTTGTTTATTTTATAATCAGTAACTGACTAGAGCCACTCCACCTTTTTGTTTTTTTTATTATCAGTAACTGACAAGAGCCACTCCGTCTTTTTGTTTATTTTATAATAAGTAACTGACAAGAGCCACTCCTTTTTTTATTTTTATTTTATAATCAGTAACTGACAAGAGCCACTCCACCTTTTTGATTTTTTTATTATCAGTAACTGACAAGAGCCACTCCATCTTTTTGTTTATTTTATAATCAGTAACTGACAAGAGCCACTCCACCTTTTTGATTTTTTTATTATCAGTAACTGACAAGAGCCACTCCATCTTTTTGTTTATTTTATAATAAGTAACTGACAAGAGCCACTCCATCTTGTTGTTTATTTTATAATAAGTAACTGACAAGAGCCACTCCCCTTTTTTTGCTTATTTTACAATCAGTAACTGACAACAGCCACTCCACCTTTTTGTTTATTTTATAATCAGTAACTGACAAGAGCCACTCCACCTTTTTGTTTATTTTATAATCAGTAACTGACAAGAGCCACTCCATCTTTTTTGTTTTTTTTATAATTAGTAACTGACAAGAGCCACTCCATCTTTTTGTTTATTTTATAATCAGTAACTGACCCCACAAATGTATTCTGGACAGATGGCGATGCTAGCTGGGCGCAGTGGGACAGCTGGTGTCCCTGTGACTGCAGACAAGGGGTTCGAACCAGAAGAAGAGATTGTGAGAGGCCCAGCTTGCTTGGGGAAAATGCGCAAACAGTCCCGATCGCTCTGTGCCAGGGGGAGGCCAGAGACGAAGAAATCTGTGACACTCGCCTCCAGTGTCCAGGTATTTACATCTATCTTACTTTATGCAACTCATCAATTAAAATATTCTACATTGCTAATTGTATACAGAATACATATGAAACTGTCATAGCCGGGGGTTGAGAATGTGCTCTTAACTTTCACCAAATATGCCTGATATATATTAATACCTCTGAAAGCAAAATTCCAACTCCTGGCCCTTTAATGGCGGAACTGTTTAAACCAACAGGAGGAGGGGCGATGGCCAGTATCTGGCCTTAAAACCTGACTGCTCCTCGAATATGTTTATAGTCTACCCTAGCAAAACAAGGGTACCAAATAAACTCAGAGGCAATCATGATGTCATGCACACACACATAGAGCTTGGAAAGTAAACTTTATGAACCACTGAATAAACTAAAAACAACACTGAATATTATCCAAGAGACAAAATTGCAGATATAGACAGCTAATTTCAGGTGAACAAAAGAAGAAGAAAGAAAATTAAATTATTCACAGAATGCATGTTAAATTGTTTACAGAATCCATATTAAATTGTTTACAGAATGCATATTAAATTGTTTGCAGAATGTGTAACAGACTGTGGAGGAAGGCCGCCGGGTCTGTACCCTTCATGTGAGGGCTGCGACACGTATATCTCATGTCTGGAGAATGGGAACTTCATAACTACAGTGTGCAGTCCTGAAAAAACAGAATGGGATGCCTTTGTCAAGAAATGTGTGCCGCCCCCATCTCCATCATGTACACTTCATGACTGTGTGGGGAATTGTCAAGGTCAGTGCAAGCTGGTGCATCTTTTGTTTATTTAATTACTGTAGATCCAATTTCTCTTCTTTTTTTCTTCATTTCCCCTCCTCTATCTTCTTCTGTTTTATTATCTTCCCTCCTCTTCCCTTTTCTCTGTTATCCCCCACCCTTGCTCATCCTCCATCTTTTTCTACTTTATCATCCTCATGCTTGTTCTCCTCCTGCTCAATCTACTCCATTGCATCACTCTCTCACATACTCCAACCCCACTATTGTTAATACCTAAGTGCATGTGTGTAGAGTGAGAGATAGATACAGAGAGAGAGAGATAGTATTTTGAGGACATTGCATCTACATTGTTGGTAAGAATGACAAAAATGGGTGTCAAGACTTGCATGGCCAGGCACAAGAGGCACACCAGACGTGCCAGAAGTGCCAGCCAGCATCAAAGTGACACTATTAGCTGAGCGAGGCTGATATATCTGGTAATCTTAGTTTCAGCTTCACAGCAAACAGGTTGCCCCATAGTTGCTCCGCTCCTGTGCCAACAAAAAACACATAAAATGTTTATCCCAGTTCAAATGAAATTTGCAGCTCACAGTGTTACACCGTGCACCCAACTCAAAAGCTGGGCAACGAAACTATATCCTTCCAGTCTACAAATGGAGCAAAAATGCAATGGCCACTGTGTGGCCAAAAAAAAAAAAAAAAAGTGCCACTGCTACAAAAATTGGCCGTGCCTAGCGTCTATTTTGACCTGAAGCATTATTTGAGAGTTAATAAACAGTCACCCCAGCAATACCCTCACTATTAGCTGGCGAAGGGGCTTACGACATTACATCCACCAGCAAGTGTCACCCTTATAACGACCTGACTGCCTTCGTTAACGACTGTTCACCACCCAACAGCCATGCAGTTCTTTGGCACGAAGGAGACACCTTGAACTTGGGTTTTGGACTGCCAACTTCCTACAAGATGTTATGTTATTTCATGTTATCACAATCGACGTCACTGCACATTGGGCATTCCCATGCGTGCTCAGTCCTCCATTGCAGCAGCCACTCCAAAGTACTTCTACTAATTGTTCCCATCAGAAGCTGGTTGTCTCCTATCTTGGCCTCAAAGACGGCAAAGACGTGCTTCACCATGCTTTACTCCCATGTCACGCTATGTTAGGTATATAGGGCTAGACCAATCAGCACTCGATGGGTGATGTGGTCAGCATCATGGCGGCCGCCTTTACTTCTCAGGACTTTACTCGGCACCCATTTTAGACTGGGTTGACTTTTTAGTCATTTTTAAAATAAACCTAGCTCAGTGCGGATTTGAACCCATGAGGAAGTAAAGGTGGCCGGCATGTTGTTGACTACATCACCCACTAAGTATTGATTGGTCTATAAAATATAGGTTCAGCCCTATATGCCCAATACACCTGAAGGCATGGAAAGGGGTCCTTGATCATTGTTCCCTTGCCAGTAAACCCCTCTAATTCAGCATAAACCCCCTTTCTGTCTCCATGTCTGTCTTACATCGATAAATAGCCATGCTAACATTTGACATCTACAATAATTTCAGATAAAGCAGATGGGACCTACCATGCCTGCAATGGGTGTGATTTCTTTGCTGAGTGCACCTCTGGGCAGATCAGTATAAAGCCGTGTCCAGAACCGCAGATGCAGTGGAACCAGCACACAAGAAAATGTGAACGTGGGAGATCACCCACTTGTAAGATTGAAACGTTTAGAGCATTTTCAACTATTCCTGGAGGTGGATTCCTGAGGTGGGTACACAGGCACTTATGTTAGTTAGCTAGTTAGTTAGTAAGTTAGCTAGTTAATTGAAAGATTATCCTCATTGCACATTGGACAAGTCCATTAGCGCTCGGATCCCATCTTCAGTATATCCCTCAGCATGTGGCAACTAATAACACCAGTTCCTTGGTGGTTTACTATTGTTCTTTGTCTACCTGTATAGTGTTTGTGTTTGACGACACCTCTCTTTACCTGAAATTCTTGTAGTCTTTTGAGTGTTACTGATTTACCATCATCTCTTGAATCATCTTCGCCTGCCTCATTAAGAGCACTGAGAATGTCTGTCCGGTCTATTGCTTTTCCTGTACCTACCGGGCCCTGCCAGCAAGTGAAGCAAGATAGTTATGTGCTCACAGGAAGCCAGATGAGTTTCAAGGGAGTTTTGGTGTAGCAACATCTAATTGTATCAATATAGACAGTTAACGCAGATGTCACTTCTATTTATTTTGTTTTGTTTCTTTTGCATCCAGCTTGGTTATTATATATTTTACTAGGGTGTTTGAAAAGTAATGCCTCCAAGAACATAACTTTGTTAATGTACATGATGTGCACAAGAACTATATATTTTTCAAAAGCTTTGGATGTCCTTTAAGAAAAGTGCCATTATTTTTCAACATACTCACCACCACCTTCCACAAACACACATGCCTGTGTGGAACTGATTTTGATTTTTTTTAAACCGTCAAGAAAAAATTAGACAATTTTTCATAAAACTGGGAACATACATCACTTGCCACATCCTCGTCAAAAGTATATTTGTGTCCCTTAAGATATTCCTTGAGCTCTGGGAACAGGATAAAGTCACAAGTTGCCAAATCGGGACTATATATATAAGTGGATGAGCCACAATATCATCAAAGTTGAGAGGTTGTAATGCTGCCGTTGTTTGTCTACTCATTTGTTGGTAAACATTGTCATGTTGAAAATCTTCATGTTTGTTAGGGCGTAATCCACGCTGAATTTGTAAACTATAACAATACTGTCAATTCAAATCACTATGTGGAAACATTGAGGAAACTATGAGCAAGATTGCTGCATGTTCATTCTGGCAAACATGCAGTTCCTCAGCATGACAACTTATTATAGTTGAAATAAATTTCACTTTAATCTTATTATAAGATATTTGGCGTGCCTTTTATTTCAGTCCAATATATTCCCTTTCAATCTTATTATAGTCCAGTATATTATCCTCCAAATTATATTACAACATTATAACCAACTTCTCATGGGAACAGTTAGTCGAGGTGCATGGGTGTGGCTGCAGTATTGAACACCCATTGGCAGTCCCAACTGCGATAACACCAATACATTTCTCTGGTATCTTATTATAGTCTTATATACTTCCCTTGTATCTGCCTATGCTCCAGAGTTTGTGCTTTGTGTGTCTTTTTTCCCTCATCTGTCTTTTGCTCTGCAGAGAGGAACTGAGCCAGCTAGGACAAAACCTGGTGAAGTAAATCAAATATTCCAGTGGGGATTTCTGGGCCAAAATTTGGGGTTGAGGCGTGGGTCTGTCTGAAAGGTGAAAAACCAACAGTCTGCTTACAGATAGCCAGACCTGCAAAAAAGATTTGCATGCAAAACTCAAGTTCTGGAACAAGACTTAAGTCCAGAAGTGGACGAGCAACCAGAACATTCTAGAAGAGTTTACTCCTAGTGAATGTGAAAAAGAAGCAGTAAAACCAATCCTCTCAACTTCAGCTTTTCAGTCTGTTTTCTTATATCAACAGTGATGAGGCAACAATCCCCAACTGCAAGACCCACTGCCAAGACACCAGGGAAGGCAAGTACCCATCCTGTCGTGGCTGTGACCACTATGTTGTATGCACCAAGTACGGGATGCTGCACCAAAAGCTCTGCCCTGTAGGAAGACAATGGGATGACCACAAGAAAGCCTGCAGAGCTAAATCCAGCACATGCCCCAATAACAGATAAATTCACCCATGATTGGTTGATTTCATGTACACAGTGTTCATAGAGTTCTTTTGTTGGTTTGAAGTTCCCCAGCTTAAAATGTATTAGCTACAAACAATAGAATGATTTTGACATGTTAGTCTCCTGCATGGATGTGGAAGATAAGGGGAAACCACCACAATTGTTACCCGATATAAAATGAATGCACAGTTACAAAGCTAGATATATATAATGAAGTGTCACTTAAACAAGAGATCTTGTCTTAAGACAAAGTAGCCCTAAACAGTGAGTATATGCTGGGTACAATGTTGTGAAATCTGGTCAGTCCGGCAATACTGTAAATACACATCTGGGTGACGAGTAGTTGGCCAGAGTGGTAAGAATACTAGGTTCTCATGTGAGAGATTACTTTCCAGGACAGTTTCTGCACCCATTTTAGACTGGGTCAACCTGTGAGCTTTAACTCTTTGAGTCTTGGGGGGGGGGGGGGGGGGGGGTGGGGGAGGGGTTATGGAGGTTTGCATCAGAGACCCATTAGAATAGGCCACACTAATACAACTGCCTGGCAACATACACAGATTATACATCGAAGTGACCAGCGAATAATACTGGAATAATACTGGAATAATACTGCTACAGTAAAATAAACTGTGTTAGTAGTTAAATATTAGTAAATAAACAGATGGTATGTTTAAAGAAATTCGCAAATGAAATAATAATTTGTCCACTTACCACCATGGCATTTAAGGTAAACTTTAATAACTTTAAAATATATCCAAAATGAATCACAAATGAACGTGACCCATTTAGGAATGTATAAAGAAATATAAACATAATCTGTACAGTAGGTCTTGTTCCAGAGAAACTTTTAGAACATCATTACAGAGCGCCATTATTTGGTAAAGAGAATTGACTTCCCAAAACAGTTAGTATCTTTACACAACACAAATTTTATATAATACTCAGTTTTTCCGTAATTTTGTAGCTTTGCTTCTAAATAATAAAGGAAGTAGTACTAAAAGTGACACTAAAGAAAATTGCCTTTTCATTAATATTTATTCTCTTTGAAAATAGCTGAATTTATTATTGTTTTATGCTTTGTGGGGTATATATCAGAGCTCTCCCTCTTCAAGGTTTGGCTCTATAAATGACTGAAACAAATCTACTTCTGCATCTATCTTCAAACAAAACTAATAAACACATGTTTTTGAGGCTTCTAAAGCCATAAATCATTATGGCATACATGTAGAAGACTGCTCAGCAGCCATATTGTTTTCAAACATACATTTAGTCACTTGGTAAACCTCATGACATACTAAATTTTAGGCTTGTAACCACATTTCTGTATAAATCTAATGGTCAACAAGTAATGTTGAATACAAAGAACAGGAAATACTAGTCAGAACTGTAGGTTTCTGTTTTCATACTGGCCATTGGTAAATTAAATAACTGTACATGTCACGCACTGATCTGGTGCCTGGGTAGTGACCTGTTAGTGCAGGATGCGTTCCTTGGGACTTAATGAGTTAAGTCATTTATAAAAATCAACCCCGGTGTGGATTAAAACCCATGACTTTTGGACTGACAGGCAAACATCTAAACCAATCTATACATTATAAGTAATTTTTATTCTAGTTGAAATGGTGAGATTATTGGATGGTTCCATGACTACGGCTAAATAACAAATATTAAATAGCACTAGTTTGGGCTATTTGTCATTTATTATTTAGCAGTAGTCGTTGTACTGGGATAACTAAAACATTTTATGACACATAGAAGCATACATTTGTCTACAAAAGCTACAAAAACTATTTTTCTTTGTTCAACTTTATGCTGCCACTGTCAAACATGGACTCTTACTAAAGCTAATGAATGCAAAATTACAACAGCAGATATGAGATGTTGTAGAAGAGCTGCAGAGTAACAATAAGAGATAACATTAAAAATGATTAAGTCAGAAACAGATTTTGACTGAAACCAGTGCTATATGTGTTTAAAGAGCAACAGATGGTAGTGTTGGACCACCTGGTGAGAATGCCCTGTTAATACTGTACATTTTGGGAAATTATTCTCGAAATAGGTTAGTTGGTTTCTGTGTTTGCTACCTTCAAATATTAGTAATTCAACATCACATTTATATTATTATGTGTTTAAAAAAAAAAAAAAGAAACTTTACAATTCCACTCAAAAGACTAAATACATCAAGTTATCTCTATACTCTGTCTTGGCTCTTCATAACTGTGCATGGGCTGCTTATGTCAGATAAAAAAATTTACAAGCTATAATATCATGGCTGTGATGTTTGCCTCTTTTGGCTGCAGAAGCTGAAAATTGATGTAGGAGTTCAATGGGTTCACCTCCATTATTTGAACCCTACTCTCAGACTTCAGCGGCGTCCGTGGCTTAGGCGTTGCGAGGCCGAATCGTAATCCAACGTACCGTGATCGAAACCCACTGCTGGCTGCGTGGATTTTTATCATAGTATGGGGCATCGTAGGCCGAGCCAGCCTAAAATGGGTACTTGGATGGCTGTCCTGGGGAAGTAAAGACGGCCGACGTAATCCTGACCACATTACCCATCCAGTGCCGATTGGTCTGTAAAAATATGAGACGCTCTTTCCATATACCCGATGCGCCTAAGGCATGAAAAGGGATCTTTACTCTTTACTTTTTACTCAGACTACAGCACTGGGAACCAGTTCTCTAGTTCACTATGCTATAATGTTTAATACTTGCAATTTTCTATACACTTAGTTTATAGAACTGACATTCCTTTGAGTTAATCTAATTTCCTAGGATGTATTACCAAAGCGTTAAATTTCATAGTGTTCTAATTTCCTAAAATTCATATTTCATGCATAATTTCTTAGGACATACATTCCACTAAGCTAATTTAATTTGTTAGGACATACATTTTACTAATCTAATTCCACTAATTTAGTTTATTAGGGAACACATTCCACTAACTTAGTTTCCTAGGACAAACATTACACTAATTTTGTTTCCTAGGACACACATTCCACTAATTTAATTTTCTAGGACATACATTCCACTAATTTAGTTTCCTAGGACACACATTCCACTAATTTAATTTCCTAGTCACACATTCCACTAATTTAATTTCCTAGAACACACATCCACTAATTTAATTTTCTAGGACACACATTCCACTTATTTAATTTTCTAGGACACACATTCCACTTATTTAATTTTCTAGGACACACATTCCACTAATTTAATTTCCTAGAACACACATGCCACTAATTTAATTTCCTAGGACACACATTCCACTAATTTAATTTCCTAGGACATACATTCTACTAATTTAGTTTCCTAGGACACACATTCCACTAATTTAGTTTCCTAGGACACACATTCCATCAATTTAGTTTCCTAGGACACACATTCCACTAATTTAATTTCCTAGGACATACATTCTACTAATTTAGTTTCCTAGGACACACATTCCACTAATTTAGTTTCCTAGGACACACATTCCATCAATTTAGTTTCCTAGGACACACATTCCACTAATTTAGTTTCCTAGGGCACACATTCCACTAATTTAGTTTCCAAGGACACACATTCCACTTATTTAATGGTGAATTATTCATTGTTGTCATCGCTGGTTACAATGTGTTTTTTTTTTGTTTTGTTTTTTGACTTGTAAGTTTGGGTGCCGACATTAGTTGCTTCTTTCTTTCTTTCTTTAAAAAAAAAAAAGAAAAGTACACTGTGTTTTTGCTGTGTCTTTAGACTGTTATGATCAATTACTCTAACCCCTCAGAATAAAATAAAAATAAAATAAACCTTATCATTGTGTATCAGAGTTCTGGAACAGGACTTCCACCTGGATCAAAACTGAATACAGTTCTATCATTTTGACACTTTTCATTACATTTCCTGTACAGACTTTGAAAGGATTAAAGAATACAGCATTAAGTTAGTTTTCCTTTACATTGCAAATCTGATTGAGAAATGACAGCTTCTTTTTTCATCATTATATAGTGCTTCAGTGCAACAAATATGCTGGAAATTCCATGACTCTCATATTGTTCCATAATTAATATTGAACAAAGCAAGGCCTTACTTGTACTGATTAATGTTTGTTTCTTTCCCATGATGATATTTTTTATTGGTGCTAGACATTTCTGTTACCACAAATGCCATGTAACAATACACATAATCTTTTCAAGGTTTTCGTGTATGAATTTGTTAGTTACTGCATCATAAATATATTTTATTGTACTTATTTGTGCTTCCTTGTTGCCTGTCGGTGGACTGCTGATAAAACCTGGTGTAGTTTTAACATAATTATTTGAAAAGTACTCTTAATATACACGGATATTTTAAACTTATCTGTACTCCTGTAATAATAATCTATGCAATGTTAACTAACTGAAAGTAACTAACAGGCATTATTATCAAATACTGAAATAGAAAAAAAAAACTATATATCCCAATTATAACCCAGATGGATTGAATAGAATACAGTTTTTTTTTTTTTTTTTTTTAATACCCTTTCCCTTCAGGAAATACCAAAATAATCCCTTTCCAGTATGTGCAGTGCCGCCTAAAAGTTATTTAACCGGAATGGCTATAGTCACTTGTTCCTTGCTAAGAGCATTCATTTCATTTGCACATGCACAAATGTTTAATAGGTCTGCCAATGGCTATAGTCACAAAAAATAGTACGTGCAGGTGTTTTCTTGTGATAAACTGGCTTTATTTAAAGAAATCACCATGTCATCATTTCCCATTAGTTACAGTGGTCTCCAGTGGCCAGGTCACAGCGTTAAAAAAAATTAGTCATTATTTAAAATATATTTAACCTCAAAAAGTTGTAATCCATTTGATTCTTTGCTGCATTCATTTTTCACTGATTACCCGATTTCATCAGTACGTAATTTTTGTTTGTTTATGTCTGGAAATGCAAGTTCTATAAATTTGGGGGGAGGGGGTGGACTGTGTAAAATTATTGTTTTAATAAAAGGAATAATATTTAAAGAAAAGCTGAAAATCTAGAATTACAGGGCCTTAGCATTGTTCTTTCTAGGTCACCGTGGTGAAAGGGTTAAAAATTACTAGTGATAAGGAACCTGGGATCAATTCACTGCCCATTGGAAGGAAGGGGGAAAGATATTTATTGCACCAAAATCTCCAGTGGTGTTTTAAAAGTTACTTGGAATATGGGTCAACTGCATGGGGTCGTGCATCTAGTACCACATTGAAGGAGTTGAAAGGGATGAAATCAACCCCCATATTAGAAATGGAGAAAGCTGGGAAAACACAGGCACTGAGAGAACACAGAGATACAAAGTTGCAAAAGTTCCTCAGTATGCCAGATCACCCGATGAAAAATAGATTTAAGAACCTTGCCTTGGGACTGTTCAAAAGAAGCAGCTTTATACACCAAGCAAAAAGAATATGTAGACAAACTCCTGACCTTCCAGAAATTGGCTGCCCACTTAAAAGTATTCCGGAACAAACCCCATGGAGAGAAAAATGTAAGCTAACGGTACAAATCCAGACAAATGTGAAAGGGATATTTGACAAGAAAGAGCAAGTCAGTGTACAACGCAGAATGGCCACCCTCAGTTATATTGATGAAGAATACCCACAAGAACAATGGGTCACAGTCTATACAGATGGGTCCGCAGAAAGTGCAGTTATAAATGGTGGTGCTGGAGTGTACATAGAATTCCCAGATGGTACTAGGGATAAGTCAGCGTACCAATCGGGAAGTACTGCCATAACTACGATGCAGAAACCCAGGCTATCAAGATAGCAACAGAGAAACTGCTAAATACCAATCTTGGTTCACAGTAAGTGGTAATGCTGACAGATGCTAAATCTGTACTTGAAGCACTCCAGTCTAGGAAACTACCAGAATTGCAAACACTGCTGACACAACTTAGCCTTCAGCGAAGAGTCGTTATGCAGTGAATACCATCACATTGTGGAGTGCCTGGAAATGAGAAAGCTGATCAACTGGCAGAGGAAGGTGCAACAAAAGTGCAGCCGGATGTACCAGTCACATACCACCAAAAAAAAAGAATCATTAAATTTATCAGGAAACCACCAGCCCCAGCACAAGATGACTATTTTATTATGGACAGACCAGAACAAGTCATTATCCTCCGCCTCAGAACAGGGCACAACCCATTACGTAACCACATGTACAAAAAATTCAAGATAGGCGTATCAGCGATGTGCACCTGTGGAAATGTGCCCCAGACAGCAAAGCATGTACTCCAGGACTGCACTGAATTTGACACATTAAGGCAAACCTTTTGGCCAGAAAGAACAACAGTGGAACGTAAACTCTATGGACCACTGAATGATCTAACAACGACAGTGAAATTTATACAAGAGACAAAACTGCTGATATAGACAACTTATTTCAGGTGAACGAAAGAAGAAGAAGAAGAAGTTAAATTAAAAATTGTTAAAATTAAAATTAAAAAGTTTTCCCATAAAAGATACCACCTTTCATGGTGTGAAATAAAGGCACAGACAAGTCTGAAAGTTATGGAGAACAGAGTTAAGTTGAGAACTGACATCAAAGCACTGACCATTCTAATAAGTGCTTCTTTCTCATCTTCAGAAGCCAGTTCCAGTTCTGATGGTACCAGAGCCATGTGATTGAACATCTGTTTTGTGTTTTCTCTCAATGTTGGCCAGATCCCCAGGTTACTCCCTGTACAGATATTTATTGGCTTTGATGCCTATTTGTCCTCCCTTATTGTTTTCTGGCTTCTAAAGAGCCTTGACCACATCAAACTTGTCATACCTTATTTTACTACCAGGTAGAGCAGAACAGCCAGTCTGTTTGTGAGGTTTGACAAGTGGGGAAAGCGAAAATGCAACCAACCAGAAGTAACAACATTATCATCATCTTTTTGTGCTGATATATGTCACATAGGGCTAAGGTCTATTCTGCCATTTAATTTTAACCTGTACAATTGTTTCAGTGTAATGAATGGAATCCAGTCCAGCACATTTGACACCTCATCAACGTGCATTTAAAGTTTCTTTTGGATGTCTTTGCCTCCTCAGTCCATGTGTTTTATATTTCAGTGCCTGTCTCGTGATTCTCTATTCACTTCTCCTCAGGATGTGCGCAGCATTTTGCCATCTTCTTTGTCTTATAGCTGTTGATTCCTGTGGTTGTCCTGACATTTCTCTGTATTTTTTGTCTTTCTTGAATTAATTCCATGTAATATTAATCAATTTCCTTGGGCATTTGTTTTCTAAACAAGATAATACTCCTTGTAATGTATGATTTTAGAGATGATTAATGAGAATACCCTGGACAAATACAAAGAGTATTCAATGAGTATCATCCGGAGGGTTCAGGCAGGTTCGTTGTGAAGACAATAGCTTGAATCATTACAGAAGTCCACTGTGCGTGGTGTCACCTTTATTTTTGTTCCGGGACATGCAGGCATCAGTGGAAATGAAAGAGCTGACAGGTTGGCTGGATCTGCTAACACTACCGACGGTCAGCCTAGGGATCATGCGGATATTATTAATGCCCTCAGAGAAATGGGAAGGATAGAGGACTTTGGTGGCAGTGAATCCACATCACTCGCCTGAATGGCAGACTTGGGAATTAAGATCGGCATAGAAAAAAACGAGACGCACAGCAGACACGCCAGAAGACTTGTGAATCAACATAGAATAGGTACTATTAGCCATCGGACGTTGGGGTTCATACTGAGGGGAGGATCTGAGCACCTATGGACATGTCCGGAGTGCAGTGATGATAAGCCAACTAACTAACTAAATACAAAGAGTAATGAAGACGTCTTGAAAGAAACTGATTCATGAAGAAAACGGATTGCCCACATCAGAAAGAGACAATCTACATTCTTTGGTTATGTCATGAGAAGGAGAAAACTGGAGTAGGAAAGTTGGAGGGGAAGACAGGCATAGGGAGACCAAAAAAAGAAGAAGCTGGACAGTTTGACATCATGGTATGGAGGACAAAGAGTTAATTGAAAGTACATGCAACAGAAAGTTGTGGATAGACATGACTACCAATGCCACATTGCATGAACTTTGAAAAGAAGAATTTATTATACATATATTCATATATAATTTACGTCTGGTTAAAAAAATTGAGGAAGAAACACAGCAAAAATGCATTTGTAAAGACCGCATATAACTTGCCATTTTGTAATACACATCAAATTTAAAAAAAAGAAAGAAAAAGAAACAGGTGAGCTCCTTAGTGTATTAAAAAGACATGGTATATCATTTTTGTCATTAATTTTAATTTTAGAACATCAGATTAAAATGAAATAGGCTTTGGTCAGTGAATGCTTGAAGAAGACTGCTCGCTGACGGCTGCGTGAGTTTGTGTGCGAAAGCTGTTTACTAGGACAACGACAGGACCTCTTTTATGTAAGTGTAAATACGTCAATAAACTCATGTCTCGTAAGCTCTCATAGGTGTCGGCTTGTGCCAGTCGTGTAACGTGGAGCGTGTGAGAAGAACATCCACCACACACGCATGAACACTACCTAGACAACGAGAAGAAACACACACCACTTATTACATTTAAGCATCTATTGAAGTTATGAACTGATGAAGACTTTCTAGCCAGAACAATTGTTTTGTTGTTGATTGTGAAATCGTGAAGTAGACTAGTTCTTAGTCGAGGTTTCAACTTTATTGTAATCGGTTCACTCCCATACTTGCTCCGCTCCTGTGTCAGTGAAAATCAAATGAAATGTCACTTACTGCCCCATTTGAAAAACTGGTGAAAAATTGTCCTGGTACAATCCTGAAATATGCGCATATAGTAAATACATTTGGCATTTGCTAGAGGTGCCAAAACCAACCGTAGCCACCAGAAATGTAGTTTAGTTTGTCATTGAGGGAAGTAGTTGGACATGATAAGTTGACTATACAACTAAAATAATTACATGAGGTATTTCACCAGCCCATACATAAGCCAGCCACTAGCCACACTGAATACGACTAAACCGCTGTACAAATGAAAGGCATTCCACATAAAAAAGACAGCTCACAGTGCTGCATTAAGCACTAAACTCAGTAGCTCAGACAGTGAAACCGTATAAAAACTGATTATATTTCTCATTTGGATTAACATTTTCCTCTCTTCCTCATGAAATGATATAGCAGTGGAACATGGACGGGAACAACAAAGTAAACTCCCCGTCAAATAACATACGGAGTGCAACATACAGAAGGTCCCCTTTTTCCATCCATATGTTAGTAATATCGCTACTAACACTGCCTATCAGATCCGCAGCTGTGCAAGCCACAGCCACCACATTTTTGAGTCTGCTAACACCGTTATCTTGGGGGTCAGGAGATTCGTGGATGACCTCAAATTGAGCTGGGATGTAGATTCTCTCGTCGTGTTTGAGGCCTACTGTGTACAAGCCGCTGGCAGGGGCGGTAAACACGCCTGTAGACGGCTGAAAGTGGTGTCCCTTGTTGTCAAGGACGTCTGTGAAGCCACGTATGATGGAGGTGCTAGAGGTGATTCTGTAGTTGCTGCAAGAGCGAGCGGTGAAACCCCAGGGCATCTTGGTTTGTGCTTTCTGAAATTTGTGTTAATGACAAATATATTCTGTAATGTTCATTGTCATCATCACCATTAACACCACCATTATCATCATCATAGTCATCATCATCATTATAATCATCCTTATCATCATCATCATCATCTCCTTCGCCACTCCAGGATCATCATAGCTACGCCACCACCACCACCACCACCATCATCATCATCATCATCATCTTCAACCCAATCATCATTAATATATCATCCCTTTTCTGATTCTTCATTATCGCCACCACCATCACTAATACCTCCTCTTTTTCTTGTGTCTTTCCTCTCCTCCTCCTTGTTCATTATCATAATCATAATCTTACTAATCACCATAATCATTTATTATGCCTTTATTCTTATCCTCCTCCTCCACAACACCCCACCTTCTGGTTAGTTTTTCATTTATCCCATATGCATCATATCTTCTGATGCATTGACATGTCAAAACTGATAACCAGCTCATCGCCGACGCTCTGAAAAGTTATTTCTTTCCAGATAGGGTTTGCTGTTGCAAATTCCCCATTTTTAGGCCGGTGTACAAAGGTTCAGTCGCCCGGCTATTGAACGGCGTGCCTGATGCAAAACTGAGCTGTGGTTTTCATGTGGATTGTGTTTTTCTGTTTTGCCTGCAACGTATTTTTGACCTCGCTCAAATGTAAGGTGGTCTTGACCGCACTAAAATGACAGGTGGTCGTATACATTTAGAATAGCGTTTAAGTTTGCTGGTGCAATGCCGGCGTTTGCAGTTGACCGTTTGCACCAACAGCGAGCTGTCATTCTTAAGTGGGACAGTTAGTATTGGCATATTAGACAGCTGCCTTATCAATTTTTACTTTGCATGTGCAAGCTTAAAGACTTTGCTAGGACTGACGTTTAAATGGGACAGTAAAGGACATTTTGTGAGATCTCCTCTAGCAGGCAGGGTTGCTGGACCCTAGACTAACTAACCAGCTAACTACGTTTCGAAACCTCACTTTCTAGGTTATCTATTATATAATGTACCAACTTTCCACCCTCCCCCATCCCCCCTCTTTTCCTCTCACAACCGCTTCCACTTCCCAAAATAATTCGCAGAGAATTCATACAAACGTCTGACATAGATCTTCATCAGGAGGTATCAAATCTAAAGGAATTTACTGGTCGAAAAAGAAATTCCTCCTTTTGTTGTAAGTTTAATTCAGATCACTTCTCTTTGGATGCCCGCGCGCGCACACGCACGCACGCACACCCTAATACAAAGACAGGCTCTGCCGATTGACCCGATTGCCTCAGTGCCCGCTTACTCTCGTTTCCTCTCAGCCCAACTGCTTCAGGTCATTGTTTGCGTAGTTGGCCACCAGACCTATTGCGCCCACCTCGATGGCGAAGATTGTTACTACGCACCCCTTATCACTCACCTAACTAGCTAATACATCACTGTACTTTCAAGCATGTAAATATGTTGATCAATTCGCGACTCATATGACAAGGTTAGCTCTTATCAGTATCAGCTGGCACTCTGCCAAAGAAGGTAGAGTGTCAGCCAGATCTTTTCCTGGTCACTCCCCGTCGCATCATTTTGTCCAAGTCGTGCTTCCGCATTATTCACTTGCTTCCAGATGTTTCTCAAACACATCTCGCTTATGATTAGTCCATATAGATAGTTCAGGCCTGAATATGTTAAAACAAACGTCTCAAACAGGAACAAATCCGAAAAAATCCCGCTCAACCTTACAACACAGTTATAATGGAGCACCCCTACAATTATAAAGTATCCTCTTGTCCAATGTGGGCGAACTTTCTGGTTGCCAGTATTTTAGGCGCCAATCCCAAAGGGAAGCCCACACATGCACACATATTCCACGACCGTCTACAGCTTATACAAGAGGCTGTGTAACATACACGGGTTCGCCCGCGCCCACACACACACACACACACACACACACACACACACACACACACACACACACACACACACACACACACACACACACACACACCCATACATCCACGCACACACACATACACAAGGTTACTATGAACGTTACCTTTGAGAGCGTAAATGTAAGAATGCCTTGCTTCAACTGATCATCTACTGTTCACACATCAAGAAGCTGACGTAACCCTGTTACAAATACTTATTCTCAAAAATCACTTTCTAGGAAATACCATCGCAAGTCAGGCAGAGCTTTCCAAACTGTGTGTTGGCTGCAGTCGGAAAATGTGTCGCGAAAACGTAAAGAATTAGACTAAAGAATTACCGTCTGTGTTGTCTCCTGTCTGTTGTAAATGGTTAGTTTAACCTCTAGATTGCTGGTAGACTGTATCACTAGGTCGCGGAGTATGATTGTATAAATGTAGGTTACGAACATAAAGCTTTGAAGGTTCTGGATGAAGGTATGACTTGCAGAATTGGTTAAAAGCTTTCAGTTTCGATTTGAAAATTAAACATTGATTACTGGAGGCATTGGTAATCAGTGATTGAAATCAATAAATCAATAGCCTGGAAATAAAGCTGGTATATTTACAAAGATAGGGGTGTCAGCACCTGGGGGTATAACACTTTGAGCTCCCAGAGAAGATTGTGATAGAATTTTTGTAAAGGGGCTAACCGCCCCCCCCCCCAACCATTTATATTGTTCTCTTTTTCAGTATTTGTATATACATTTCATATTATTTCAAATGTCTTGTTAATTTATTTGCAATAGGGCACATTATTATTATTGTTATCATCATCATTACTCTTATGTCATTCGAACCCACACACACACACACATACATACACACCCAGACACACACAAACAAACATACACATACACACATAAACACACAAACACACATACACACACATACATACACACATACACACACAAACACACATACACACACAAACACTCACACAAACACACATACGAACACACAAACACACTGCAACTAAGGTGCCCTCAGCCACCCCGCAAACCATGTACAGTATATGCATTCTATTTTTAGGTTTTTGTTTATACATTTCAAATTATTTTAAACATATTATTACATTTATTGGCCATTTATTACATTATTATTATTATTATTATTATTATTATTATTATTATTATTATTATTATTACTGTGGTAGGGTGCCAAAGGAGATCTGTTAATTTTGATCGGACTACACTCACTGACTAAAAATTTAGCCAGTGGGGGATTCTAAAGTTTATAAAAAGGATTTGTACTCGGCTGTGAGCGCGCGCGCTCTCTCTCGGTATGTTTTCGGCTGAGAAAATACCGAGATATACTATCATAAAATACTTTGGGTAGATTTTTAACTTCAACTTTCGCCTAGGCAGCACCTTTAGGCTACTCTTTTTCGATTTCCAACTTCTAAGGTATTTTTTTTTTACGCCCACAGGCGTCTTATCTTACAACTCAGAGACCATGAGAAATAACTAAAAGTGCACGTACAATAATTCCAGCCTTTACCGAGGTTTGAACCCAGGACCTCCAGCACTCGAGGCGGATGCCTTTCCTCGAGACCACGCAGCCCCCCCCCCCCCCCCCCAATGGCCCTAACCACGCATACAAACATTTTTTGTTGTCATTGAAAGTATTTGTTTGTACATGACTGACTGACGTTTTTCTCCACCAGGACCACGCAACGAGTAACTTCCGGTGTCACAAAGTGCGACCATTTGGATGCGAATCCTCCAGGTTCACGTCACAGAAACCCCGTTTAGCCGTTAGGGTATATTAGGGACCCTGACGACACCCGGAGAGGGGATTTTAAAATAACAGAAAAAAGTGCGTCCCATAATTGGACGCCATTAATATTGTTTGCACATTTCATATACTAAAAATATTATTATTATATATTATTATATATTTCTCGATATCTCGTCAGGTGCATACTATAGTCACAACTGATTAAAAGGAAGCAAATAATTGAAACCTTCAAACTGAAATACAAAATCGACTACATTCACACATTGTTTCACCAAGGTGAAAGTGACGAGCATTTCTTTCAGTCGGCAAAGTTCTGGATTACACCTTCTGATCGCTGATGCTTTCTGGTATCTCAGTAATCTACGGTTGGCCGAAGTGTAAATAATTCGAAGTGCATCGTCCTTGTTTACCATGTGCCCAGAATTTAGAAGATGGTAATTCTTATGGATTTTTTTTTAACCTGTCAGCTGATTCGTTGCTGTTGAGATGTTGGTGCTTTGCAACAGTTTGTTGTCGTTGTTGTTGTTGTTGCGATGTCCTGGTACGGACTAACGGAGATTCGCATCACCCACCCCCTCCCCTTATTATCTGATATGTTGTCTTCCTAAACGGACCGTGACCGATAAACCAAGACCCTCTGTAATTTCTGTTAATTTACTAGAATAAATGTGGGATATAAAATCAAAACCCACCACAGATACCAAGTGATTCAGACTGTTCAGAAACTACTCGGGCATAGAAAACAGAGAATATAGACCCAACTCTATTTGTGATAGATTTTATTACTATTACCAATTGCCACGTCATCAAAAAATGGAAAGCATCTATGACATCGCAGCCTAGCCGTAAACCACAGTCTAGTGTGCCATCAAGTACGAACGCGTAAGATGATATGGATTATAATTTTTATTTCAAGTCCAGAAATGTGAGAATCAAGAATTGCCAAACGGTACCAGTTCATCAATATCTGGTTTTTCAACCGTAGTCGTCTTTGCACTGGCTGTCACTTGGCGAGGACAGGAGGCTGTCTCTTTTTGGCACGTCTCTGATGACGGGTCAAAGACCATGAAGCTCTCGATTGTTGTATGATTGTCAACGGGGTAACGAGCTCGAGGACACATCCTGGAACGTTCGATTTAATATTATGAGGTGTTCAGTTCTAATTGTAAGCAAATTATTTGGAATTATTTGTAGCATGTAAGTCAAGTAGCTAGTTCAAGTCTTTCACTCCCAGATGACACAAAAATCAAGGTGAAAAACGCACTTTCAAAGATGCAGCACATACCAAGCTAGATTTTAAATATTCAGAGA